CAAGTTCTCCCCAAAAACCCAAGAAATGCATGCAAACAATGTCGGCAAGGAAGATGATGGCGACTGTTTTTTGGGACAGAAAAGGTGTAATTTTGGTGGACTTCCTGGAAAGAGGCACTACAATAAACTCTCAAAGGTATTGCCAAACTCTCCAAAAACTCAGAAGAGCAATTCAAAACAAGCGCAGAGGAATGTTGAGCTCTAAGATCTTGTTGATTCACGACAACGCCCGGCCCCACACGGCAAATGTCACTCGTAAAGTTCTTGAATCTTTTAAGTGGGAGTTGTTTCCTCATCCGCCGTACAGTCCCGACCTGGCACCGAGCGACTTCCTTCCACCTATTCCCAGCAATGAAGAAGTGGCTGGCTATGCAGCGTTTTGATGACGACGCACAGCTGCAAGAAGAGGTAACGAAGTGGTTGAAGGCGCAGGCGGCCGAATTTTTCGACGAAGAAATTTCCAAGGTCGTACATCGCTACGATAAATGCCTTAATTTGTATGGTGACTATGTAGAAAAGTAGTATTTGAGTGTGGCTTTCATCTGTATATAATAAAATTTGTTTCCTATACTTTGTTTATTTTTTTATTCCAAAACGTAATCTACTTTCTGGATAGCCCTCGTAAATGCGATTACCCCCACATCTTCATTAATAAAATCCGAGTTGGATAAGAGAGAGCATTCGCAAAAGAAAATAAAAAGAAAAGCCGATGGGCTGAGGTAAGGAGATCAATAATAAGCCCCATTTATGGACAAAGACGCTAACTACCTGTGGTTAGCCACATTTGTTCTGTTGCCACAAATGAACAGGCGACTTGAAATTTGAGGTAATGAATAAGCTGCCTCTATTCTTTGCTGGTTTTATTTCCCTGCCACGAATAAGGTTTTTCTGAAATGCCTATGATACAAGCAAATGGAACAATATCTTTTTTTGGAATTGCTTCTTTCTGGAAATTTATTGTGATCTCCTCAATAAGGCAATCGGCACACGAGAAATGAAAATATAATCGGTACATTTAATTTTTCCATTTCTTAAAATAACTTATCCTCAGTAGATTGAATGACTGTGCAGGAAATGACACTAGTCCCAGAGATGGGATTTACTTCTAAGATTCTGCTGGCAATTTTTGTAGCTTTGTCTTAAGTTAAATTGGAAACTGCAGCACAAAGAGACTGAATGGACCAAGGCAAAAGCTAAAGAATAATTCTAACATCCAGTTATCAGGAGCATTTAAGGAATCTGTTCTCCGTTTCATGATCTGCAGTAAATCTGAAGTGGTAAAAGAAATGTGCTGACACTCCTAATAAGCATAAAGCTGCATCAGATCAATTGTAAGCCATAATTTAGATGAGATGTACATCAGCCATTGTATAAGTCTTAACCGAAAATAAAAGTAGAAATTCAACTGAAGAAAATGAAGTATGCTGGATAGGAAACAAAATCATGAAATGATCTATAATTTGTGCTTATCGGTGATCCAGAGAATAGTCAACATAATCTATAACTTTTGGTTTTGAAATCTTGAGAGATGGCGAGTAATCAAAAATGAGAGAACATACTAGATACTTGAGAATTTTCACAAAAGTTGATTTAACGATGTCCTGAGGGCACCATTTTTAGATGTGCAGTTCACCATTGTCCATGACATATTTGATATTCTTACAGCATTCATCAAGAACTTGAATCAGATACCAGTGCTGCGTTAACCATGAGGCCGATTATTATCAGCCAGGAGGGTTGCAGTTCACTCATATAATTACATTACCATATACTATAAAAAATTTATCTTAAGATTTCAAATGACAGGCCTCTGTTATCTGCACTTCTTTGAACTTCTGTTTAGGGTTTCCATTTATTTGTAGGTAATGAACTTCCGTCCCTCAGCAATACAAATCTCACGAAGGAAGAAAAGAGAGGCACTTTAGCCTTTGAGCTCAATAATCTGGTTTGAGTGAAATGAAAGACCATCACCTAGTCTGGTCAAACAAAGCTGTGTTAGTGCTGAAGCGTCAATCAAGAAAACCTGTGAAAAAATATATCTTAATTATGTAAATCATAAGCTTGTACTGGAAAAAATTGAGCATAGTTTTTTCATTGTTCATGTAGCACCATCTGTTGAGGGCTGGAGAAAAATCCTGAAAGTGCATATGAATCATTGCAATAGGAGAGAGAGAGAGGTGATGTAAGTTCTCTGTGATAATCTTCTTGGAAATTGAAAATTTCAAATTACAAGTCCTTTTCGAATAGCTACACTAGATTTAGAAGAAATGCTAATTTTTGAATTGTAGAAATGGTAGATTTACACAGTTCAATAGTCTCAATAGTTTTCGATAGCAATGTGGCAAACCCAGAATTTTGAATAAGTTTGTAAATGAATTTGAAGTCATATTTCTCTGGCAGGAAAGGAATCTTCAGGAGTTGTGTTCTTGTTTGTGTAGAAGAAGAGTATTTCTTCACATTAGAAATTCATTTGGAGATGATATTTGATTTTTGACTATTTTTAGGGATGAAATGAACATTTGCTGGAAATAACTAAGTGGTCAAACTTATATCTGATGCACACTGGTTTAGTGTCTGTCATAAGAAATGGGACCAAAGACAACATGGGAGATTATGGCAGCCTAATTAATCATGGCTCATATAAAACAGATCATTGGTGCTTTGGCAGGATAATATTTATGGATTTTGTTGGCGAGGGATAGCAAAAGTTTTTTTTGTGAAAAATTTTCCTGCTCCTCTCAGTTTGTTTTAATTCAATGAAGATGATCGGAAGTTTAACATCATCAGCTCTAGTTTTTCATGAACTGTTTTAACTTAACAACTATTAGCCCTTGTTGCTAAGCTGCTTCGATATGTATTCAGGGTCTTCAACCACTGACAATCCTTGGATGATAACCTTAATAAGAGACTACTCTTTTATATGGATAGTAGTACAAAATTGCATCTCAGCTTTCCTGAAAGCACCCAAAGTAAACCTCTGGTATCAGCGAAGTGAAAATTTAATGGAATTTTTGTCTCTGGCACTGAAGCATTTGATGTTATTTCACTAAGCAATGATCTTTTATTTTGATTCCTTTTTAGTAACTTTGCAAAGAAGGGAGAAGTGGTGACTGTATTTATACCAGAAGCAATGGATGGAACAAAACAAATTTGAGCATACTGCCATCTGCTGATGAAAATAATAATGAAATATAGCAATTAAGATATCAGAATATTAGAAGTATTAGGAAGAACTGGATTGGAAATGATGTCTTTAACTAAAGAAGATAAATTAAGCTTCAGTGAAATATAATTCACCAATGAAGGAACCTTTATGCAGTGGTTATGCAATTATGCATAATTTGTACAGTCCCGAAGTTAAAAGTATGGTTAAATTTCAAACTATGATTAGCTATCAAAATGTTATTTATTTCTGCTTTTTGGCCATGAGATTTATGTTCTTCTTTAACGCAAAATTTTAATGATCTCCGAGTTTAGCTGATATATCTCAAACCACATTGACAAGATATACTATAAATTACTCAAGAATTAAAGTCAGGTATAGAGGCTTTAAAAATCGAACAATGCATTTTATTGATAGAGAGAAAATGATCCAAAAATTGAACTTATGCCCAATCCATGCAGTTCTATAACTGGTAGAAGGATAAATTGGAATGATGACAAGGTTATTAATGTTATTTCTAACAGTGAAATGTTTTCTTTGATGGCATTATGAAAATTTTTTAAAAGCTTTATAAATGGAGAGTCCTCCATCGATGGCTGGCGTAGTGAGGTGGCGTAATTTATCATGGAGAGATAAACAAACAGGAAAAGGTTTATGGTAAACAGTGGTGCTGAAATCTAATTTATTGTAACTTATTAGGATATCAAGGAAAGGAAGTGAATTGTCAGATTCAGTTTTAAAAGTGAACTGGATGGGTAGATCAATTAAATTCATAACAAAGAATGTCTGGGATAATTTTTTTTTCTTACAACCAAAAAGTAAAACATGTTATCTATGTAGCAAATCGAAAGCTGAAAAGATAGTTTTAAAAATAATTTGATCTCAAAATAGTGTGTGCAAATAGTAGCAAGTAAAGGACTGGGGGAATTCCTATTGGTAGTCTTTCAGTTTAGTGATAATTATTATTTTGGTAAACAAATGGATTTAATTTATAGAAACTTTAGTGACACAAATTAACTTCTCAATTTCAGTATGTGTGGAATCCTCAATGTCTCATTTCAACACATTTTAATGCCGAGTGGTAAACAGGGAGCATTCATTAGTAAACAGCAAGTTAACTTCAAAAGAAACCATAACTGAGTTCTGAGGGCAAATATCTTAAGATAAACCATAACTGAGTTCTGAGGGCAGATATCTTAGATTTTTACTCATTTTTTGACAACTTCAAAACTAACTTTTTGCAGTGGAAATATTATTAAAAAGTAAAGGGAAAATCAGGAAACTAAAAATATTTGGATAAAGGTTATGATACTGTTAAGCCAGAAAAGGTAGGGTTGAAAAGTCATTCCAATTTTTTTTTTTTTTTTTTTACTTTGGGAAGAGCATTGTACAACATTGGAGTTGCATGCGACCCAAAACAGACAGCTATCTGCATACCCATGTTGCCATACAAATGCTTTTTTAGCAACATCGTAGGTTGCCACATAACAGGTTTTGGTGACATGCTGCTTTGCCTCGTGAATACTTTTTTGCAATTTTTTATTGGGGATGTGGATAATCAGAAAATATCCTTTTTTCCTTGATGATGTTCATGGTTAAAGGTATTTTGGCAGATATTACTGTGATAATTGATTTTTAATTAAATTTTTAATTTGAAAAATTTAGCTGTAATGTTTGATGCTATTTTCTTTTAAAGTTAAAAAAAGGGTGCGCAGGGTATTTTTGAAAAAATGTTATTTTTATTAGTGCTTATTTTTATTGCTTTGTGAGTTACTTAAAATTTATTTGAATATAAATATTTACACTGGCATTACACTTAATTGAAAAATACTTTTAGGTGTTCTTCCTATTATTTATATTCCTGTATGTTACATCATATTGTCTTATATCAGCTTTCAAACGAAAAATTGATTTTTATGCAGGTAAGCACAAAAATTTTTTATATTCCATCAATGATTTTTGTTAAATGCTGTAAGATAATATTGTAGGTGATGAAATTAAAAAGGGCAGTCATAAGCGAGTAAGAATTGAATATCAGGATAATTTGCATTATAGGACAATATGAATCAAATAATTTTCTGAAGAAAAATATATATACTGTGTTGCTTATTAGCCCATCATCAAATGAAATAAATGAAATGTATTATCTTAGCTCTCATTAGTGTTTTTTCAAAGTATGTCAGTTAAAAGTCTTTATAAGTTTGTTATTTAATTTTGTTTTTTTGTTTACTGAAGAACTTAATCTAATCAATATGTTTTTTATGTTTAGAAAACTTTTCCCACAGTTGAAATGAGCTGTTGACAGAAGTATATTTTCTTCATGGGAGTATCAAGTTGACATACTTAATCTTTCAAAAGAAAATTGTTTCACATGTATTGTCCTATAATTGAAAAGATCTGATTTTTTGTGGGTGTATTTATATTTTTCTTTGTTTGAGCAGTTAACTTTGGATTACAGCAAATAATACAAGAACTATCTGCTTAAAGGAAGGGATGTGTATTTTTGTAGAAATACTGTGATGTAAACAAACAAAACTGAATTTGTTTAAAAACAAACTCTTTGTTCTTCATTAGAATTGCATGCTGATTAAAGTAATTACTTTTATTATTAATGTGTGTTAATTAAATTGTATATTATTTTTTATTTATCAAAAATAATTTAATAAATTATCAAGCATTGCTAATTAATACAGTATTTTAAATACTTTTAAACAGTTACTGCCAATTTCTGTTGTTTCCAACCAATTTCTAGCAGCTGTTTCCAACCATCTGCTAGCAGCAGAAAAACTTATCTTTTGCCAGTTAAAAACCAACTTTGCTAGAACGATTTAGTAGAATATAAATTAGACACAAAATCCTCTAACTTGGAGTTAAAAAGCAATGACCCCCAAATTGGGTATCATTTCAATCCTCGTAAACGTACAAAATATTAAATAGGGCAAGTGCACTAGTAGTAGGCCGTTCAACCAGTTGTCACTGAAACTAGAGAAGTGTAGTGTAAATATATGAGATGCATCAAGGAAGTAATAAATTACACTTTTTAAACAAGCCGAATGAATTTTTAAATGAAACTTCATTTCTTGAGCTGTTTTCTTACATCGTTTCCATGGGAGTTGAGATATTTGCTATAGTGCGTGACCAACTTATGTATACCTTTCCCAAAGAAAGTTCCAGCCAGTGATTAGAGTCATATCTTAACAGCAATTTTTGTATCATCCTTGTTTTGAAAGCACTGACCTGCAAGGTACAAAGACCAAAAAGTACAAAGAAAGTGTAATAGTAGAATTACAGATTAAACACTCCCTCCAAAACAAAAGTATGATCAATGACATAAGCAAGAAAACTGCAACTAATTATTGAATGAAAAGCTAAACTTAAAATAATATTAACTAATGCAAAGCTTAAATGTTAACTTAAGTATCTTTTCTTTTATGTTGAGCATTTCTCTTAACCTTTTAAATTTTGCTTTTGGAAGAACTTTCATGAAGATACTGCTAACTGCTCTTCAGATTTCACATACTTTATAATGACAGATTTTTCTTCATATTTTTCATGACTAAAATGGTAGCACTCATCAATATATTTTGTGCATTTGTGAAATATAAAGTTTTTAATCAGCTTAATAACACTGTGGTTATCAGCAAAGATAACAATACCGTCTTTACACATTTCACTTTTAACCACATCTTGTAGAACTAGTCTCAATCACAATACTTCTTTCACTGCAGTTGAAGCTGCAAAATACTCAGCTTCATTGGTAAAGGTGGAAACAATTGATTGTTTTTGACTACACCAAGTTACTGAACCATTGCTAACTTAGAAAATATAACCAAAAGTTGATTTTCCTGTGTCTACATTGCTAGAAAAATTTGCATCTGTGTATCCAACAGGATGGCAAGTATCATTAGCTACTGGAGAATAATCGATGCCATAGCATGCTGTAGCTTTCAGGTATTTGAAAATATGTTTTACAACATTCCAGTGTACTTGGCCAGAATTGGCTTGAAATCTATTAGCTATACTTACAGCAAAAGCTATATCTAAGTTGAAGTGCGCGGCATAGAATCTGAAGTATTATTAATATACTATAAAGAACAAACTTCTTTAAATAATATTATTAACGAGAAAACAGGACTGGAACAAATATCTAGTGGCCTTTTGAAAATAAAATTCCAATGACTGTTTATCTTTCGAATGGTCTTTGTCTGATGCCTTTTTAAGAAAATTAATGTACAGAAATTAAAGATAAGAGGAAACACAGAGGATGCTACACACTCCCTTCCCAGTGAAAACGATTAGGAGACACAATCCTTTAAATCCATGTGGTGTGGTTGTGATTGACCGGCGCCAAAATTCCCCCCCCCCCCCAAGGTTCGCACTTATGTGCAGATCTGGGTAATCCATGTGCCTATGGGTTTCAAGAGGCTGCTTATCATTGTCTTTTATGGGTTCATGGTTTCAGTCTATCAATTGAAATTCTTTTGACTGTTCATTAATTTCAATGTCAAAATACATTGCTCGGTGTTTGATAACATAAGGCCCAAGATAAACTGGCTGCAGAGATAAAGTGGCCATGTTATTGTAGACGTCATCTGAGCAATTCAAAAGGTGTTTTGAAATGAATACAGTTGTATTGCCATGGGTAGTCGTTGTAGGAGGTTTCATGCTGCAGATAATACTTTGTAGCCTTCACACAAACTCTGAGTGTGTGACGTTAGGGATCGCAATAATGAATTCTCCGGGTAAACAGAGGGGACTTCCGTAAAGAAGCTCGGCTGAAGAGTATCCTCTATCTTCTTTCAGTGCAGAGCATAATCCGAGAAGAACCAAAGGTAAACCAAGATATGCTTTGTTGTAAATGACATTTCAAGCTTGCCTTTATAATCCTGTGTTGTCACTCAATTAATCCATTCGATTGTGGATGGAATGCTGCTGTTTTGGGTTTTTGAAAACCAAAGTATTTGCTCAAAGATGAGAAGAGTTGACTTTCAAACTGATATCCTTGATCAGACTTAATACACTGTGGAATTTCAAAACGACAAATCCATGTTGAGATGGATGCAACTGTTTCTGCTGACTGATCCGCCATAGAAAGGGCTTCAACCCATCTTGAAAAAGGATTAGTCATCGTTAGTAAGTATCTGAAACCTTGACATGAAGGCAAGGGTCCAACAATATCAATGTGAACATGTTGAAAATGTTCAGATGGAACCTTGACGTCCATAAGAGCTGACTTGATATGTACTTTGAACCTTAGATCGTTGGCATTCCGTGCATTCCCTACACCATAACTGGCAATCTTTATTGATATTTGGCCATATGAATCTTTTTGTGATTAATTTTCTAGTGCTTCTAATCCCTGAATGAGATAAGTTATGAATAGAAGAAAATATATGTTGGCAAAAGTTTGAGAGGATGTGTGGGCAGTTACTACGGGTGAAGACATCACAATAAATCGATTTGTCGGTGCCTGGAATGGGGATCTGAACCTTTCTCAGCCTTTTGTTGTTTTTTAAAATTGTTAACTCTTCATCATCTTGAAGTTTTGCAATAGTTGCATAATCGATTGGAAATGGTATTAATTCTAGAAAGAGCATCTACAGCAACATTTTCTTCTCGCTTGACGAAGCGAATATTTGTTGAAAATTGAGCAATATAACTCAATTGTCTTGCTTGTCTAGTAGAGGCTTTATCTAAATTTTGTTGAAAAGCAAAGGTGAGAGTTTTGTGGTCTGTATAAATGTTGAAAGACCTTCCCTTTAATATGTACCTAAAATGCTTTATTGCAGTGTAGATAGACAAGAGTTCTTTATCATATGCGCTGTACTTTCTCTGTGTGTCGGTTAAGGAGCGTGAGAAAAAAACTTAATGGACGCATCTCTTCCTGGTCAATTTGATGAATGACGGTCCTGGTAGCTGTATCTGAAGCATCGCAAGTGAAAGATATAGTAGTGTCAGTTGAGGAATGAACCAGCATAGTGGCATGACAAACCACATTTTTGAGGTTTTTGAATGCATTGCGAGAATGTTCGCGGTTTTTTTTTTACTTTTTTTACATCTTCGACTGAGTAGTAAGGTTACAGGTTATTGAAGCTTGGCACACTTTGGGATGAAGCATTGATAAAAATTGATCATCCCTAAGAACGTGCGCAAGCTGGTAGCTGATCTGGGTTTGGGTATGTTTTGTACAGGCTCAACTTGCATCAGAAGAGGTCTTATTCTGTCAGTTGTAATTTCATACCCCAAATAATTAAGTTTAGAAGTGCCAAAAATACAGTTTTCAACATTGATGCATAAACCATAGTCATTTAACCTTTGAAAAACTATTTGTAAGTGCTTATGGTGTGACTACGTCTGTAGAAGCAATTGGTATGTCATCTAAATAGCAGAATCGAAAGTCCTAACCCTGATAGTATCATATTCATGAATCGTTGAAATGTCTGTGCCGCTCTGCATAAACCAAAAGTCATGAATGAGAATTCAAACAGCCCAAAGGAATTATAATGGCCGGTTTTGGGGATGTTGCTTTTGTGCACTTTAATTTGTAGATAAGCTCTAATTTAGTCAGTGGATGAAAAATTTTCTTTCCATGTGGAATATAGCCACAGTCATTAGGAATATTAGGAGTTATTAGGAGATGAAACAATATTGGGCTGCCGATTCCCTCCATATTTGAAATGTCGTCTTATGCCAGAAGTTTGAATTGAATAATAGAAAGACTTTCCAATGGTAGCTGATACTTTCAAGACGTCTGTAAAGAAGTACATAGCAGCCAGATTGGAGGCCACTTTCGGAGTAACGAAGACTTTGCATAGAGTTCACGAGTGCTTGTACTGGAGAAATGCAAGGCTGATATGCAAAAGTGATGCCAAAGTGATGATTTGGAAAGGACCGAAGCAGGATAGAAATGACTTTAGGAATGCAGCCAAGGGAAGCTGTAATGTTACATTGTAGGAGTGCCTTTTGTATGCATACCTTTAACATCCTGTGATCCTGCCACAAACTGCTGATGGCAACAAATACATCCTGGTATGGCCCGAGACGTATCCTGTTACTGATCACGGTAGTAGAGGTTATGATACAGCATTGGATTTTGAGGTTTACAAGTTCTGAAGGTTTTTGAGGTTTCTTCAGTTACACTGATCAAGGAAGGAATTTTATCTCGTCTTGTAACTGAAAAACTCTGCAAGCTACTCGACATCAGCAAAACTCAAATGACACCTTTACATTACCATTCAGACAGTATGGTAGAGAGATTTAATTGAATCATCCTTAATAATGCTAACCTTTCACTGATGGTTTTGGGAAACCAACAGGATTGGCATCAGAAGTTACCTATGTTCTTACTGGCCTATCACAGTGCTGTCCACGAGACTACCAGCAATTCGTCTTTCCAGATGCTTTTCATTTGGGAAGTTCATCTACCTTGTATGTCACCCTCCGTATGCACCTTCATGGCCGGAAGAGTTCATTCGAGATCTCCAGGCACAATTTGAAGTGATGCATAATTTTGCTCGTGAGCGAGTGAAATTCTCTATGGAGAAGATGAAGACCCTGTATGACACAAGAGCTACAGGACATCGATGCAGCAAAGGAGACAAGGTATGGTTGTGGAATTTGATTGAATGTAAAGGACTCTACTAAACTACAGTCACCTTGGGATGCCCCTTACACAGTCCTAAAGAGTCTGAATGTCATTGTTCTTCAGATCTGTAAGTCTCCGAATTCTAAGCCTAAACTCATTCATTTTGACAAGCTTTACTAGCTATGGCATAGTACTTAGTTTCTATCGTGTATTTAATGTAAATAGTATACTAAAACCATAGTCGTATTTGTATATAAATTTGTAAGTTTATGCATTTATCGTTTTAGCATTTAATCTGTTTTATGTCATTAATTAAATTTTTTTATTTTTTTATTGCATTGATTTTCTTAAGTTGTAAGTATGGCTTTTTGTCCATGGGTTGTACTTCCCGCCACATGCATTTCTTGCAAAGTGGGAAATGCGACAAGTTTTATGCATATGTAAATAATTTTAGTGAAATTCTATGTGAAACTGTAGAATTATTTGTTTTTTGTATAATGTAACATGAAAATCTGAAGAAAACTTCACTGGGAAAGTAAGAATACAGAAGCAAGTCTATTTAATTTTGATTAAATTTCTGTGTTGCTAAACTTGCAAGATTCCGCCGTGCTAACTATTGTTTTGGTGACTAATTTTTTCTCCACATTTGGCAAGAAATTGCCAAAAGTCATCTAACTTGGTGACTGGCGACATTTGTGTGAGGTCCATGTATAACTGTATTTAGTATTGTGTAATTGAATAGACCTAATTAATCTAAATATGTAAATCTAACTGATTCTGTCCCTCACATGCCTTCTTGTAATTTCAGGAAGTGAAATGTAGTTGAGATTTCTGGGTGGCGAGGGGGAAAACTATACGAGACTTTAGAGAGCATGAGTTTTGGAGTTGTTAGTTCAAAGCTCAATTCGGAGTATTGAGGTTTCCGTGAGAGCTTCACCTTTTAGATGTGCATTGCATTGCATTGTGTTTAACGTTCTTAGTGTTTGAAGTGTAACAAATGGGTGTGCTTTATGATACTGAGAAGAGCTGTATGAGTATATTTGTTTAAAGTTCCAGAACCATAAGGTGTTTGGTAAAATAAATTTTATCAAGCTATTATTGGTACTGTGTGCATTCAGTCAATTAAGATCCTGTATTCAGACAACAATACTTTTTTACCTCTTTCAGTACAATTAGCTTGGCTTGGGATTAAAAGGAAGTCTATCCATGCCTTTAAGGATTATGTGAAGCATATTCAGCTTTGTCATATTTTAAATCAATGCCAACCTCTAGAAATCAATTATAATTGGTATAAAAGTCGATCTGTATTTCTGCAGAGCTGATTTAGAATCCTTCTTAATGTTACAACTTCAAAAAGGAGCATATTTTAATTTGGTTTGAAGCTAATATTTTTGATAAAGGTCTGTTGTAGCAATTATAAATAGTTGAAACCATTTTCCATCATGATACATTTTTTGAGGAATAGTATGCTGCTGAATTGTACAATATTTAATTTTTCTTAGACTATGTCTAAGTTTTTTTCTTTGTATGAGAATTTTGCTACAGCAGTATTGGATTTTTAAATTGAGAATGCTTTAAAAATATAATAAATTTCAGCATTTTCCTGTGATTTGTAGTTTGTAAGTGTGGCAACTGTCCTCTGACAGTTTATAGGGTTATTACTGTAATTTTATGTTTTTGGTCGCTACTATAATTTCTTGTTTCCTTTTCCATACTAAAATGTAAATCAGATAGAAAGAAATTGTATTTAAAGGAAAGTTTTGGCAGTTTAATTCAGAGCACATTTTGCCTCATGAGGCCACAAACTAGGTTTTTGCTGTCCCGAGTAAGATTTCATTTTTCTACTTTATTTCACATTAAACTGAGTTGTGTAGTCTTTGTCTACGAGCTTAATTTTAAAGTTGTATCGCTACAGGTAATTGGCTGAGTTGTAAGCATGACTTGTACATTTATGTTCCAGTTCTGATTTAATGAAAAGATTTGTTTTAAAACCTTCTTAAGACTTTCTAGTTCTGTCCAGACACAATAATTCTCTTAACATCTGTTGGGAGTTTGATAATAGGTTTTTGTACCAAAACAAGTCAAACCTTATATGTTTATTAGATGTTTAGGCCTGAGTTGGTTTTACTGTAGAACAATTGCTCAGTATCATACATTGAAGGTGCATGCAGTCACATTAAAATGGCAGATTATCAACCAGCAAACCTAGAAGTTTGCAGTGTTCAGGCTTGATTACTGTTATAGAAACAAGGCAGTTAGCTCTTAAAAGATTATTTTGTCTTACTTCAGCTAGTTTGTAAACATTCAGTGTTGCATATAGTTGAGCTCTTCATAAAAATAAAGTGCAATTTTCAATAAAATAAAGTGCAATTTTCAATAAAAATAAAGTGCAATTTTCTATGGCTACTTAGGTATGAAAAGCATAAAGCAGTATAATAAAAATTCATTCTTTAATAATCAGGTAAGAGTATGTGTATGTATTCTTATATTCAAACTGTTACAAGCATAAGAAAGTATATAAATTGGTTAGATTATTATGTTAAATAGCTATTCTTTCAGGATCATATGAAGATGCTGTGGTGTACAGAATCTCGTAAGTTTTTTCTTTTTATTTGCTGATGTTCCTGATTTAAGTTACAGATTTATTCTTTTGATTGAGATCCTTAATATACAGTAGAATTTCAGTAATTTGGACTCAGTATTTCCGGAACTCTGTTTATATGGATTGCTTTTCTTCCTGAGCCAAGCCAAATAATATTCATTCTTTGGGCATTTTTAAACTTGTCCATTAATTTAAAGTGAAGTACATATTTTTTGAAAGTCATATTTAGATGGATATGTATGACATGTAGAATTATCTTCATTGTTTGGAAGATTTCACTTATAAGCATAAGGGGAAAATTTGCTTTTGTTAAAACAAATATACGAGGTGGTTATAAAATAACATGAGGTATTCAGAGCCCTCTAGCGAGTGAAGTATTAGACGAAAGATAACCAAGTTTGATGGGCATACATAGTGTCCCGTGGGACTTTGATCTCTTAAAAAAAAAGTTGATGCTGTTTAATTTGCATAATCGTGTCTGTGTAGTGATCATGAGTATAAAAGGAAAGGCTGGAAGGATTCTCATCATTCTGAGGGCAACTGCCTTTTGATGCCTCTTACCTTATGAGACTGTGCTTTGTTAGTTCAGCTGTATTATCAGCGAAATGAGAGTGCCAATGCTGCCTTCTTTAATTTCAGGCTTTAAAAAAGTTGCAAAAAGGACCAGTGACCATAACAAACTTATGAAGCATGACTCAGCAATTTGAAACCAAGGAAATGCCCCCCCCAATATCGCAACTTTTAAAGATTGAGACAAATAAATCTGATATGTAGTGAGCCGCCGTGGAAAATGGCATGCAACGAATGCAGTTCTTGGAACATCACAGTGGGGGGTCGACCCTCATTTGTTAATAAAATTGATATGCATTTTGTCATTTGGCATTTAATCATTTATTATTCGTGCTAATACTTTTTTGCACTGCCAACATTTCCCCTGGTGGCAACTTTTGGTACTGTTTATTTATTTATTTTTTTTAAGAGATTGAAATCTCTTGGTCTACTATATATGCTCATGAAGTTTGGTTTTGTTACTCCAGCAAGTAAAGTATGTCCAATACTTTATTCACTGGAGGGCTCTGAGTACCTCTCATTATTTTATAAACACAGTGTTTATTTGGCTTTCTAGAGAAATATATCCTGTTATGTGGAATATCCTGCTTAGCTTGGATATTTGGGGTTCTACTGTATATTAAGTTCATATGATACATATTTAATTAATTTACATTTTTTTTTCTGTCCAAGTGATTATTATCTGTTTTCTTTAGTGGTAATGGAAGCAAATTATGAACCTGAATGAAATACTTTTTGTATTTCATTGACCTAATGTCTTCTGTATCACGTCTGTAGGAAATTATAATACGAAAATTGAGATAAACAGACTTACTAAAGAAGATAGTACTGTGCAGTTATCATTTAAGTGTTTCCAAAAAGTTATTAGTATAATAATTTTATTACTGTGTGAATTTTCCATGGAGGTAAGAATGAAAGGAAGGGCCAACCCAGCACTACGACGCACTAAGAGTGAAGCACTGCTCCCAGGCTTCGGTCTCCAGATGGGGTGTTTTTTGTTTACATCAAGAAGCTCCCTTGACAGTGCTTTGATAGTATTTCGACACACGACAGTTCCATACAAATCAAAAAACAGGATACTTACAAGAAACATTCACTCTGTGATGGATAATAGAAGTAACATTTACGCAAAAATCACATCCTGGTTATTTTTCGATAACTAACAAAAGCGATTTTGATCATGAATTTGTTTTATAAAATTCTAAGCTGTTGAACTACAAAAATATAGATTTTACCAAAATGTTATGCTTAAAGAATGAAAATTGCCTTACGGTACCTTTAAAATTGTATATATCTTTCGATACCCCCCCCCAATAGAGTATTCGCTACTTTTATGTTCCAAACAAAAAATGTTTTAAATAAAATAAATTTTTTTGTCATCCACATATTATTGTAACATATACTTTTTAAACATTTTTAGAGCAGCGGCTTTAATAGTTGCTCATTTTAAACTGATCATTTTATTTTTATGTATCTGAAAAATAGTCAGTTTAGATTAGCTAAAAAATAAAATATCCACCAAATGCTGCAATCTTTGTCAAAATTAATAAATATAGAGGCAGGTATGCCAATAAATTAACTTTACCTTGATTTGTAACCACACATTATTAAATTATTTATAAATGTATTTGAAATGAAGGATTTATTCATTCATAAACTTCCGTGAAATTTACTGTGAAGAAATCTAGTTACTAAATATATCTAAATGTATAATGATTGTAAATATTATCTAAATATATAATAACGTTAACATTGAACTGTAAACATAAATTGAAATTCTGTTGACAGATACATTTATAAAACTATCTGAGCAAGAATTGTTTGTACTGGAAAGCAATCTGTTAAAAGGTATTGTAAAGCAAATTCTATGAGATGCATACTTAAGGAAGTAATAAAAAAGAGTTTTTAGAATGTGTATTGTTGAAATTAAAGGTAAAAAAATCTGTTAAGTATTGAATTATTTCCTTACATTTTATAATAATTCAGTTACAAGTTTTAAATAATGTTAAAAAAATTTTTTTTTTATTCCCTTTCAGAAATATTCATAGAAAGTTAAGTAGATGGAAATCAGTACCAATATTTAACATATTTCACTACTAAAATAAAAGGTACTCTAAGTTGAAATGAACCAAACAGGGCATGAATTATAAATTGACTCAGAATTTTCGATTTCAGAGATGCCTCAGAAGCTAAAAAATCATCTCATATTTGAGCAAATATCTTAGGAAGAAGCTCTGTAAATAGAAAAGATATAATGTATAAATTTAATATTAATAATACAATTAACTTTGATTTTAATTTTGTAATCCTTAACCAAATAAAATCGAATTACCTTAAAAACAAAATTTTTTAATGTAATTAATAAAAACTTGTGAAAATATTTCATTTAATTTAAACTGTCCTGTAAAAATTATAGCATTTAATTCTGTTCAGAATGAAATGTTGTTTAAAAATTTATGCTTTTCACATACTTAGAACTCTGAAATATTGTAGAAAAAGAAAATACATACATTTATATGTATATTTACGACGTAATTACAAAATGTTTATATCCGTTCATGTCAAAACCATTGATCTCAACGGTAAGTCACTGAATGTTTTGATCTCCACGAAAAGGTATCGCCAGTGTTTAAAAGTAGTGTATGGGGAAAACCGTTTAAGGCTTCTCCTCATACTTTCTACCTTCATGGAATTTTCAGTATTTTTTCTTGAGCATGCAATTTGTTTTGTGAATATTAAGTAAATTCATGTTTTCAATTTTTCATATTTTCTAATTTATATTAAAATTGTAAATTTTTTTATGTTCAGATAATTTTACTCATGCCACTACTATAATTTGTATGAAAAGTATGTTTTAGATTAATCTTGTTTTAATCCAGGCCAGAATATTGAATTACTCCTGAGGCTCCAGGTCACTGCATTCAGTTGAAGATTTCATGCATGGTTATTCATAGTTTTCATCCCACTCTATTGTTAAATGGCCAAGTTGGGGACATTTTTTTCTGATATGTTGTACATTTTAAGGAGTACAACTTTCGTAAGATAGATTTCCAAAGTATTATTTATTAGTTTTGAGAATGGACCACTTAAAAAGGTTGCAGTTGGAAGGTAGAAGAAATATGCATAGGGGGACATTTGACAAAATGTTTAAGAGTCAAACTGTATATAAACAATGTATTTGAGCAGTCAAATGAAGGCAATACAGGAATATGCCTGTGAATTCTTTGACAAAAAATTAAATACTTGAAACTTTTAAAAATTAACTAAAGCTACATTATCCCATTTTCGAAATAAGACAGCCCTAAATGTTATTTAAATGCTTAAAAAAAATACTAGTGTTTTACCAAATAAATATTGAATGCAGAAATTTTGTTTTGCAAGGTATGATATTCCCAAGCAGCAATGTAAAATTTTTTAAAATTATTAAATAATTAAAATGTTATTTATCTTGCATTAAAAAACTAAATTAATTTTCTGAAGTTTAACAGTGTATTTTAGAACATTTATTTAAAGATATGGTCGCTCATTCATTTGATCTAAATTTAATAAAACATATCTGTGAAGCTCTAAACACATGCCCAGCACCATATTCACAACTGCCAACAGTATTTCAACAGATAAAAACAGCACTGACAGAGGAATGGAAAATGTTCTTTCTGCAAGAGTTTATAAACTACCTAGTTTGAAGTGTACTCTTTAAGGTCAAAGTAATCATATTGCTTTCTGAAGACCATGTCTTTTCTGTGCTTTAGTTTTTCATCTATACATCTGAATCCAGTTCAGTTCAATCACTTTTAAATAAAGTGTCTTTACGTTCTGCATTTGTTATTGTTATTGCATTGTTTCCTCAGACTTTAGTATTATGCATTTATCTGAAATATCTTCTCTATCATTTTCCCATATCAAAGTGACCCTTAATATAAAACTGTTAGTGAAAAACCTGGTTTTTAGTTTTGCTTGCCAACTTATTTATATACTTCTTCCCATTGAATAGGGATAAATAGAACAGTCACACAGGGGGAAAAAAATATGATCTTTATTTCATTATGACTTGTAAATGATTTTTGCATATATTGCTGTTTTTTTTGTACCTTGGTTACAGGTGTCATACTACACTATAGTGCATCTAATATTATATGAAATATTGGTACTTTTAGATTATCTGCACTCTCATTGAAAAGTCACAAAAAGTATTCACAAGGCAAAGTAGTATGTCATGAAATTAGTTATATGGCAACCCAGAATGTTGCCAAAAAATATTTATCTGGTAATCCAGGTATGCCTTTTACACATCTGTTATGGTAGTGTCACAATGTCAGTGTAGTATAGTGCTTTCTCTTATGTTTTTTAAGTGAAAACAGTTTGCTGTGTATATGGAGAGAACAGCAGTGCAAAAAATGTCTTCAAAAAATGTTTTATGACTGACATTTATTGCTTTTTCAATTTTATTGATCGATAGCTGTTGTAAGGATTTCTTAGTGTTCCACAGTTTTGAAAATGGCTGTTGCCTTTCTTTCATTAGTTTGGCAAAAAATTAATAGCCAGCGAGTTTATGAATGCTCTTCAAAGTTGGCATCAAGTTTACTTTTTCGTTTGGGGTGCAGATAATCACGAAGTTCCGAAATATTTTCTATTTTTATTTTAATTTCTTTGGTGTGTTATAATACATTATATATCATCAGGTTATGGATGAACACATTCTCTTTGGGAGTTTCCATTGGAGCGGCTTTACTTCTTCCTATATCAATTATTAGTAATGAAGTTCTTCTTTATTACCCAAATAGCTATTATGTGCAATGGTTAAACAGCTCTTTAATTCAAGGTTTGTGCTAAAATATACTGTTATCTTTTACTAAATATCTTAGTCTTATTGATGATTACTGTGTGTTTTTGAATACTATGACTGAACTTATATATTTTGAATTTAATGTTTAGTTTATAAATGCTTATATATATAGCTTATATAAATACACAAAGAAACTTAATAATAGGCAAGAATTAAAAACAAATTTTTTATACCTGTCTAGTGCTATAGCTGCAGTATTAAAGTAAAATAAACTTAAAGATCAAAAGTTAAAAGTAAATTGGAATCAAAGGGAGATCAGTTTTTATGAATCTTGTATATAATTTCTCTTTTGCATTTTTTGCTATGCTTTGACTCCAGTTTACTTTTAACTTTTGATGCTTCAAGTTTATATAGCTTACATATATATATATATGTTTGTCTACATTTACATACGCATATATATCACTCACTCACATGTATTTCCCCCCCCCCCACAAACATAAATATATTTGAGTTTTAATTTTATCTTGTAATTGATCTAGTTTAAACAAGTTAGCTGTTTGCATTCAAGTATTTTTCATGGTGTGGAAGCGCAGTGGTGGACTGGTTCTGAAAATATTGGCTGCCAGGCAATAAAAGGAGCTCAGTCTTAACTATAAGGCTGTAATTTATTTTTTTTTTTCAAGAAATAAATGAAATTTTTAAAATATATGTAAGGGAAAGAGGAACCTTTAAAATTTTTGTGAAATAAGTGTATGTTATGCTAATTACAGTGCTGTATATTATATAATTTATTAACCACCATGGTAGATACTAAATATAAACTGATATAAGGGATTTTTTAAATAATTTTTGTAGATTTAAGGTAAATAGCAATACTTTTAATACTTCTTTTATTCCTAATGTTAAAAAAAAGCAAGCATATTTCATTAGTTTACTATACAATTGAAATTTCATCTGTAGTAGGAAAGTTCTCAGATGATGAATTTCTTAGCCTTATTCATGTGATGTTTGAAAATGTCATTTCTCTCTGCACTTCCAAAGCAGTTTTAGGGTTGTTATAAAATAGGAAAGAAGGCAGGGCTGCCACATTGGGCGACAAAATTGGGGATATGCCATGGATGGATGGCGAACCTTCTGGAATGAATTCTTACCAGTTTAGCCCAGAGTGTTCTCAAACACAAGCCGAAAGCTATATAAACCCTGCTGTTCCACAGCCAGTTAGTGTGTGCCTCGCCTAGCGAGCTGATAGTCAGTCATTGAGCGAGTGTCTCAGAGTCTAGTGCTGAGTTGGTCATCGAGTGCATTCGAAGAGTCTAATAGTGTATAGCGGTTAATGCATCGTCGAGAGAGTGTGTTAAGCTTCGGGAACGACTGAACCGAAGAGTCGGGAGCTGTGTTCTGTGTGTCGTCAAGTGCATCGCGAGTTGTAGCGTGCAGAGTCTCGAGAGTACAAGGAGTTCCGAGAATGACCGAGCAGAGTCGGGAGCTGTACTCTGGTGCTCTGCAGTGAAACTGTCTCCACCGTAGTAGCCTGATAACCTGAAGGTCGTGTCGCTGATTGGTCCAGTGTGTTTATAGCAGATCTTTGACGACTGTAAAAGTGTTTTGGAGCTGTCCTGATGAATACTGGCTAATAAAGTGTGTTCTGATACTTCATCAAGTGTCATTGTTATTCACTCCAATTCTGCATGAACATTGTATGAACGTGAAGTGAAGGAACAAAATAATGAAACAACTGCTGTCAGAAAAGAAAAACGCAACAATATGCATACACAAGGATAATGTGAGTTGTACTGGAAAAAAATTTTCTGTGGAAACAAAGGACCAAAAAGTTATTGCAGAATGCCTGTTTCCTGCCATTTTACTGGAGCCACTGAATGCATTGGATCATGTTGCAGCTTTCTTAGAAAAATATTTCCGGACAATAAAATCGCTAAGAAATACTCAAGTGCAAGGACAAAAAGCGACTGCATTTGTAGAAAAAATGGGTTCAAGAAATTGGTATGAAAAATAAATTTTTGGTTATTGATTGCATAAACAGTTTCATTTTGCCTCTCCACAGATGAAAGCAGTAATACCGATGCAAAACTGTATCCAATTTTTTTTTTTTTTTTAAATCGAGTCTTTAAAAATTGAGTGTAGTTCACTTTCTTCCCCCACTTTAGAAGAGATTTGACATGTTATAATTATAGCACAGCTGATAATTAAAATGTAAGTGCAATTCTTCAGGATAATTGCTTAGCACTTAATGCTGAACCAGGAATGCATGACAGGAATTTTAGGCATGAAGGTTGGTATTGCTGACAAACAAATAATAATAATTCATATTTGGAAATTATAAAATGCACATGTCACCTCTTAAATGTAGTAGTGAAAAAGGGTCAGCTTCTTTGCCAATAAGTGTGGTTGGACACATTTTTTAATAGCTATTATCTTGGAAAGATTGCTAAAAGGAAGGAAACATTGAAACAACTCCAACAGTTGCATAATACTGAAATAAGAAAAAAAATACGAAATATGTATGTACATGCTAGTTATCTTTGTAGAAATGTTTAGTTTGAATCATTGACCACTTCTTACATTTTTTAAGGAAGAAGTAAATGCTTCTAGAGTAAAGCTCAGTTGAAAGCTTTAAAATACTTTAAGTAAATGGAGATATAGTTATTGCTTCCATTGTTAAAAATAGGTGTGAGAAAATTTAACTAATTTCTGCACCTGTGAGTAATTTAATTGGCAACTCTCTAAATAATACCACAAAATATAAGCGTAAAGCTCTTCCAAAATAAAAAATCACTTGACAAAAGACACATTTTCTGATTATTGTAAGTTTATCTTGTGAAGAACATATACTTGTTTTTTGTCTTCAGATAAAGCTTTTTGCTTTTTTGTACACTCCAATTTTGCCATCATTCAATGTTCTTAACACAATTCCACAGTGCAGAATTACATTAATTTATGTTTTTTAGTCAATGATTCGTGATCTGGTTAAACTATTTAATGATTAGGGAAATTTAGAGTATTTTTCTATTATTAGAAGGTACAAGTAATAAAAACCTTTTTTTAAAAATATACACTCACTCCCAAAAGTTAAGCACGAAGATGTAAAATGCAAAAAAATAAAAAATACTGCTTTGATTGACACAAAATTCGGCAGGAAAGTAGCATATTTATATTTATGCATAAAATAAAATCAATAATTATATACAGAAATGAAAACAGTATTAAATTTTTGTAAGTTATCAGATAATGACATACTGGAAACTTAAACAGAATTATGTATAAAGTGAAAATAAATAGCATAAAATGAAAAAAAAATGACATTAATAGGGTATGGGATCCCCCCTCATCTGTATACAAAGTTTACACCTTGTGACCATGCTTTCAATTAGGTGGTCAGCCACCGCTGAATTAAGCAATTGCCATTCTTGTAGAGCAGTTTCCAGCTCAATAAGAGTGGCTGGAGGTGGGAAATGGGAAGGTACTGCATGGCCGAGAGCATCCCAAAGATTTTCGATGGGATTAAGGTCGGGCGAATATGCTGACCACGCCATATGCACAATCCCTTTGCTCTCCAGGTAGTCAGCGACGATGACAGCTCTTTGGGGATATGCATTATCGTTCATTAAAACAAAAGTAGGGCCAACTGCTGCAGCGTACAATCTCACAATGGGTTCATCTCGATACCGGACAGGCGTCAAAGAACCGTTTAAAGATGTGCAGGTTGGTGCGGTATCCTAATGAAATCCCTGCCCACACCATATTGCTTCTGCCTTGGGAATGCATGATGTTTTGGGACTGATTGCGTGTTTGTTGTTCACGCCATATCCTTATACGCTTGTCATCTGGCTCCAGAGCAAATCTTGACTCATCAGTAAACATGACATTGCCCCAGTCAAACACAATCCAATTGACATGTTCCTGGCACCACTATAATAGTGTCCCTCTTGATTATGCGGATAGAGGAACACAAACTCGAGGTGCCTGGGTGTACAGTCCACTCATATGTAATCTTTGGCATACAGTAGCTGCAGATATTGCCTTACCAATGGACGCTGTAACCATAGATGTCACACGTGTGGAGGTCGCTCTGCGATTACGCTTGGCTACAATAGCAATATAAAGATCTTCCGTGTGTGTTGTAACCCTTGGGCGACCGGCTACGGGCCTTCGGACAACTGTCTGTGTGGTTTGGAATGGTTTTCATGAGCGTGAAATTACAGAATGATGAATGCAGAAGAAAAGAGCAACATCTGTGATCTACTGTCCTGTTTCAATGCACCCCACTGCATACCAGCGCTCAGAAGCTTCCATTCGTCTTCTGGAAGTCATAGAAACACGTATGTCTTGAAAACAAATTGTACGAAAGTTTTAACACCTTCTATCAGCACTTACAATCAACTTCTGTAACCCTTCATAAAGCTGGCTTCTTTTAAGACTGCCTTTTTTCCATATTTCTTGACATGAAAGCGCGATTGGCTGTTACCTAACATATTTGCATACTTCCATCTACCTCTGCAGTGAATTGCATCCTCCTCAATTCTGATTGGCTTCTGGAAATTAGCATTTTCCTCTCCTTCTTAACTTTTAAAAGTGAGTGTATAAGTATTTTTGCATTATTTGCATTTAAGAAATAATAACTGAACATTCAAATATTAATTAGTTACCATTTAAATATTAATTAGTTACCACTCATTCTTAAAACTATTTTTTCTCAAAAAATGTTTTTATTGTTGAGAAAATTTTCCTGATTTTTTTAGCGTTGTATGTTGTCAAGTATGAATTTTACACAGCTAGCAAATGCATTTCAATTATATATTTTTTAATATGATATAGAGATATGAAGTGACACAATATAAATTTGAATTCTTTTCTTTATTATTATTTTTATTGTTTTATATATATATATTGAAAATTTTTGAATACTTTTCTTTATTGTTTATATATATATTTTGATAAATGTTTAATAAATGATTGGATATTTAAAGAAAAAAAATTAAGCGAAAGAGGAGTCTCATAATTTTAGGCAGTGAGAAAAGGAGAAAAATATAAATTTCAGAAATAAAATGGAAATATAGAAAAAAATATGATTAATACTGGGTTCTTCAACCTTTTTGTCCTTAGAGTACATTCTAGAATATTTGTTTAAAGATGGGCACCATTTACTTTTTCAAGATGAATTTATAGTTGCAGATAAAAAAAAAAAAAAAAAAAAAAAAAAAGATCAGTCGTATTTCACTTTGAGCTGGCATCTGTGTTGGATGGAATTTCTGTTTAATTAAAAATGAGAAAACTTTCATATAGAATTTTGTTGAAAACTAAAACATTTTTATTGTGATTGCACAGCAACAGTCATTTTAAACGATCGGCGGGTGCCATAGTGCCCGCCGGCATAATACAATTGAACATTACTGAAATAAATTTTCAATTAAACTATGTTTGAGTTAAATTTGAAAAGTAAAATCCCCAAACACATGAACTCATCATGCATAAGCTCTGGTGATAAAGAAGTAGTATTTGTACTTCAGAGGTAAGTGTACATTGGTGCAAAATATTCATGTCTACATATTGGATATTAAATATGAAAAAAACTACTAACTTTGCAATAGTCCTTTTCCTGTCTTAAAATTATGAATCTAAACTGGGTCATCTGAAAATTAATTTGCATTAGGTCATCTTATTAATCCTGCAATGCAGTTAGCTTTTGTTTAATCACTGTTCAAAATTTAAACAAAGAAATCAACTTTTTTAATGTGAATTTCTGACATTTGCACTCAATTTGCTCTCTTCTTTCGCTTTTCTTGCATATGTTTGCCTTTCTGTGCTCGCATTGTTTTAAAAGTCTGTTAAGTTACATAAAATTGTGGGGTGCTTCTTACACCCAAAATGATGTGTAAGAAGAATATGTGTCGTCGGATTTACCAAAATGATGTGTAAGAAGAATATGTGTCATCGGATTTAGTTATCTAGGAATAAAATTTTATCTTGTTACCTTTGCCGCATCTTGAAGCTTTTTCATCTCCGCTATACTTCTTGGGAATCTACATAGCTCTACTATCCTCACTGTGCAGTAAAGAATCTTCAAGTAGCTGCAGAATTTTTTTATTACATGCATACATAAATGTTCACTCTAATTTTGTTAAAAAATTATGCTTCACCAGTTGCTTTGAGATATGGCTTGCATGCAGTTTTAATCTGAAACCACTACTCTAGGCCATTCAAGTAGTATAAGTTAATTGGTGTTGCTTTATAAAAGCTTTAAAATAGGATCATTCTTTTTCCAACACCATTCTTTTTGTTTTCTATATTATACTTGGATCTGATCTTTGGTTTTTTTTTTTTTTTTTGAAATGGAAAATATCAGAAGCTTATTGATCCCATGAAAACCATACCAAGTGTTATAATTTTTGTGATATTTCAAAAATGTTGTACTTTTGGATATCTGCAGCCTTCACGAAAAGTTGCTGATTTATTGCTGACTTGATGAATTTATGAAGAGAGTTTGTTTGGTTATCTTTATGCTTCCTAGGTACTGTTTTGTTCATAAACATTACCAAAAAAGAAGTGTTTTCTAAGAAACAGGAAATTTTATGGGGGAAAAAATGAAGTCCTGCATGGTTGAATACCTATTTTCTTTTCCCCTCATTTATTCGTTAAAGCACAATATTTCTGAAGCCATCCATTCGCACCCAATAAATTCCACAGTCTCATACCAATTCTTTGACCTCTCCCCCCATGAAAGTTGTAGAGGAAGAATTGATCTGCAAAATGACTGTTAAATATTAAGCCTGTAAATCTACTGTGAGATATGCATATTCATTGGTCTATCATTGCCTTTATACCTAATATTATACCAAAAACAAGGCAGTTGTATTGACTGAACCTGGGGGTTTGATGATCAAAAGGTATCAATATTTTATGAAAATATAATAAAAATTTATTTTTAATGGACTCTTGTTTTTAATTTTAGGTTTATGGAATCTTGTATTCCTGTTCTCAAATGTTTCATTATTCATACTTCTCCCATTTTCTCACTTTTTTATTGAGTCAGAAGGATTTCCAGGTTCACCTAAGGTATGTTAATTATCTGAATCATTTGTACATAGTGTTCAGTGCTGCAAATTATTTCTTAATATTTTCTAGTAGTTAACATGTTGTGGATGATGAGCAGTAGTCTTCTTATGTTACAGCTATATAAAGTTTAAGAAATTGTCAAATTATACTCTTCCCTCTCATTATTTACCTTTCACTTAATAAATTTTCGTCACTGATTATTGTATGTTTTTAAATTATCATGGGTCATAATGATCATTGACCTTATATCTTTCAGTATTTACCATAAATTTAACATGTCAATTATTTACAAGAATTTAACAATCTCTTTACTTGAATCTAGTGATAAAGAAATTAATTGCAAAGAGGAGAATTTTATTTGTTTGGGGAATTCAGAATTTCACCTCTAGAGAATATTATTTACTACAGGTTGTTGTAATGGAAATGAAGATTACCTGTATTTTATGCTGAATCTCTTTCTTGACTACCAAAAGAGTTTGCATCATTCTTTGGAAGATATTAGAATATGTAATGAATGAGAAAAATAAGTGACAAAAGAGTATAACAGCGACAGGTAAACACAATCACTTCAAAAGAAATTGTTTTAAGGATGGGGGAAACAAATGTTCTTTCTCTCAAGTGTAAAAAAAATAATGAGTGGCTGTGATCAATGTGAGACATAAACTAATCCCACAGCTGCAAAGATTCAGTTTTGTTCCTGATGAACGAAGATGAAGTCTTGCAATTTATTTTGAGGCTGAAGAGTTGTTATGGCATGAAATATTGCTATTGATCTCAAGATTAGATCTGCATGTGTTGGTCTTCCCTTTTAGTTAAATATCACTAACCTAGAATGGTACACCACTTTGTATTATGTGACCGTTTAAATATATACTTCTCATGAGTTGGAATGATAGTTTCATGAAGTATTTTCTAATAACTTGTTGACTGAAATTATTTAGCAAGTTAAAACTGCTTTTCTACGTATAGTATGTGTGGTCTTTCTGTACTTAAAATCAGTTGGTAAGTGTACCATATGCCCAAAGTATGTTCGGAAAACAGCAGATATTGTTGAATTTTGGTTTGCAAATGTTTCTAGCTTATTGTTAATGCTTAGCAAAAACTCATGTTGGGTTTACATTTTGTAGGAATATAGCTTTAGTGCACTATGCAAGGCATTTTTGCTGTGCTTGTGAATCTTCCAGCTTGTAAATTATTTGTAGCTCTCTTTGTGTTGTCTGCATTTGCAATGAAATAAATGTTTTCAGTATAACAGTTTTGGTGCTGAGTCTTCAGTAACACATATTTGCTTGAGCAGGAGTGTTCTAGTAAAAATAAAATTTCTTAAAATCTTTTCCTTAAGATCATAATATGATAATGCTTCTAGAATCCCAATCTATATTGATTTTTTAGTCAAAATATCTGTAGAGCTTTTAATGTGAATTCTTTGTTAAAAAGTTTCACGTGGTCAAAAAAGTTTAAAATGGTTTATGGTGAAAATCATTTTTTTTAGTGGATTAATAGTGTGGAGCTTAAGGTTGTTTAAATGAATTTAACTGCTAACTGATTGCAATTTCAGGCAAAGAAATAGTTTATTACAGGAGGGCATTGACAAATGGGAGATGTGAATTAAATGTTTGCAAGTAAGCATGAATTGTATATGTTTTATAAACTTATTTTTGAACAATAAAGAATCTGCTGCTAATTACACTATCCAAAGCAAACCAACATGTTTTGAAATTCAGATTGGTTAAACACCTTTTTACAGAATCTTATTCTATATTAGTTCAATAAAAAGCAGGAAAGTGCCTCCTCTTTCATTAAAAAAATTTGAACTAATTTTTATTCTATAGCTCAATAAAATCCTGTCTCAAAATTACATTAATTTAAAAATTTTTTATGAATTACTCCATGGGAAAGTCAAGAGGAAATTCTGTTTCATTTTGCAAAGGACCTTAATATTCCCTCTCTTTTAAAACGTGCTTATGCTATAAGAATTTTGTAGGGGTTATTATTAAGGCTTTTACAGTCTGGCAAGTTGATTGTTCATCATAGAAGATATATTCAACTATTGTAAAATCAATTTTTGGAGAATTTTAAAAGGTACTCAAAAACAGTTTGGAGGACTAGGTTTATAAATTTGTTTTCCTTGTAAATTCAGTCATAATTCATTATTTATGCTTGAAATTATATGGTGGTATGTATGAATCTGATCTGAAAGTCAAAGGGCTGTTCTTTTTATTATGCAACAAAAATGTTGGATTTTCTTGTGCTGAGAGTTTTATGAACTGTAAGTATACTTGTTAAATGTTTGAAAAATATGTAGTAATGTGCACCCAGTTAATAATATAAAGATGTATTGCATATATTAAAAAAGTTCTATAAATCATATGAAAGCTTATAAAATATTACCTGAAAGCTTTTCATGAGTTAGTAGTCTATGTGGGATTATTTTTAAGAATTTCTATAAAACCATTAAATATTTTCAGTTTTTTGATAATTTGATATTCATTTACTTCTAAATTAACTTTTGTAAATAATGAAACTGACTGAATAAGGAAGGTATAGGAGATTTAAAGCAATTTAAGATATCAAGAACTGTCATATAGTCGGTGCGGCATTTGATGATACATTGTGTCTCCAGTATCTGAGGGCAAGCATGAGGAATGTGTTTAAAATTTTTTTGTAGTAGTAGAGTTATTGTCCAAGACCTCGAAGCTTTCTCAATATCAAAAGTGAACCGTGAAGTTGAAGAAACACATTGAGAAATTTCAGATTTTAAATATGAAAGCTGTCTTTAGTCTTTGTAATCCCGTGAAACACCATTTTAATTTCTGATATTTTAGCTATGAATCTTACTGCAGAAATCAACTCACCTTCAAAACCTTGGCTGATTAATTCTGTTTAAGTTTCCCTTCTTTCAACAAATATACTTGACACATACCTCTATTCATCTGTATGCTGCGATATGAGATTGTTGCATTTTGGCACAAAGTTTTCTCATCCTTGTTTCTTCCACTCAGCATCATTTTCCTGATTAATGTTAGTTTATATAGTTATAGTTTATTTACTGTTATCTGATTATGTGGATCACACAGTTTTTCATTATCTGCTTGTGTTGCCTTTGTTATTGGTGGGTAGTTTTCTTCAACAACATTGCATTTAAAAATCAGTTTATGATAGTGAAAAGCTTGATATCTCAGAAGATGCTTGCTGAAGCTTTCCACGCATTGACATTGAGTTTTATTGGGGAGAAGAAATGTTTATTGCCAATACTACGTAGGGACTGATCGACTGATTTGGAAACTGAAGTTAAGTCCTGCAGACAAGTTAGCAAGTGATTGCTGCATCTTAAAAACTCACAAATATTTAAGAAGATTTTAAATAACCTTTTTATTTAGCCTGAACTAAACATAAGGCATGACTTGTGCTACATTATAAAACCACCTTTTTTTGGCTGTTCAAATTAAACAGTAACTGAGACTTCAGCTCAAATGCTGATAATGTAGTGTATGACTGCACTTTCAATGAAATAAGTTGTAAGATGGCTCAGTTATTTTACTGCCACTCAGGTTTAAAGTATTGGCTAGTGAGAAAATGCCGAAGCCAGAACATAAAGTTTAAATAGAGCTGGCGAGGAACTCTAACAATGTGACATAATTGACAAAAACTGTCTCTCTCTAAAATTCAAAATCCTCAGCTTATATACTCTTAAAGCTGATTTGCATTTGGTGAGGAATGTGGAAGGAAGAAGTTATTGTAAAGATCAAAATTATAATAGCTGGTTAATTAACATAAGATATGCTACAGCTATGTGATACTATTTCTGTTACAATAATTTGGAATCCATCTTAACACTTCATGACATATCTGCACTGCAGAAATTCAGAACTGTGCTATTTGTATTGGATTAGGAGAGGGTCAAGATAAAACTTAATCAATAATAACAATCTGCAAGATTTCTAGTTCAAGAGAAAAAGGTGATATTGTTTTACTGTTAAGCCTCACATGTACCTATTTTTAACGCTGCTTTCAAAATTACATGAATAAAGTTAGAAGTAGAGTTATGGGCATATATGCCAAAGTTCTTAAAATGCTATTCTCATAGCATGCGATTAGGGAACTGGATTAAGTCTCTAGAGGTGAACTGTAAAATTTTTAATATTTGACAATATTGTCTAGTTAACTTTTATTCTTCAATCAAGTTAGAGGGGGCCCACCAGCTGCCGAGTGGTAAAGTCTCTGAACATTGGTAAGTCGATTTAAGGATTGAATCCCATTGAATTGGCTGGGTGCAGGGGTGTTTTTGTGGTTTTTCTTATTTGTAACATGTAAACAAGCTAGTTTCTCTTAGAAAGTCTTCCATGAAGACAGGCCTCCCTTTAAGCAGATAGCACTTGAGTTCTTTGCCATAGTTAAATATATATTAAATAGTATAAAATGTTTCTTAAAAATTAATGTAATTTTTTTTAAAGTAGAATTAAAAAACTTAATTTATGTTTTGTTTTCCAGGGTATTATGCCAAGAGTCTATGAAGCAGTGCTTGTTTTCATTTTACTGGCAGTGCTGATAATGGGTTTAATATACATAATATCTGCTATATTTTTTGATAGCAGTCATTTTGGAACTGAATCTATATTTAGTAAGTTTTTTTTTCTTTTTTTCCCCCCATTTTGTTTCCATTTTTCAAAGAAATTCTAGATTTATTTTAAATCAAGAGTAAATAAATACAAATGTTGAAATGCATAACACTTTTGCACATGCTTTTCATGTGATATTTTCTGAAGATGATGCTGGAATTCAGCAAGATCAGAGTTTTATCACATTGTACAATTGTTTGTGATAATTTACTGGTTTCTTGCCATCTTAGTTTCCATGACATTGCTTTTATGATTTACCATTGTATCCTTTTTTTAAATAGTATTTTAAGTAAACAAAGGTCTTTTATTTTGAGAGATTCCTATATGTGTTTTATTTTGAACCTCTCCTTGAAAGAGAAAATTTAAATTTCAGTACAGTTTGGCCCAAGGTCCTCATTTTCTTGATTCTGATCTCAAGCTCTGCTGAACATATAATATTGATAACAAGTTGTTTGAATAATGTACTTGTAGATGTGCACGTATGCAAAAGGCAAGAAATTTTTTTTTTTCTGCAGTGAATTGAATTGGCTACAACAAATTTAAAGTTGAGAGGCATTAGTCTTTCCAAGAAACAGGAAAAACCACCTATGTTTTCATTGGAATATGAACCACAGATCTTCTGTTTTGCCAGATGGACATGCTAACCACACACACACCATGAGAGATGTTGTGAGGGAATGCAGTAATTTCTTATACAGTGACTTCCATTGCTTCCATGTGTGGGCATGCATCATCTTATGAGACTTGCTATTTCTCCCATATTACTCAGAAACTTTGGTATTCTACTGAATTTTTAAATTCTAATGTGCCCTCCTGTTTTGATAAAATTCAAGATTTGTTTCTAATTTGATGAATTTAAAAGTAAAAATAGTGGTAATATTTGGTTAAATTGGGTATCTGTGATGACTGAGGCAAAAACCAAATGAATAATAGTTCAGGGGATACAGAAAATTGTGGCTTTTGTTCAGTTATATCAGCATCTTGTTTTCTTTCATTCAGAACCAGTTTTTTTTTTAATATGGTTTAATAAATTGTCTGGCTTTGCAAACTGCTGTAATTTGGAGTTAATTAAAAACTGAGTTTAAATAAGTGCTAACTTTGTCAGCGTATGCAAGAAATTCAATTTTGTAGAGTAATAAAGAATATTTCCACCTTTTGATTGCTTCCAAAAATGTAAATAAATATAATAAATATAAGTGATAAAAAGTGTAATAAATGTAGCTTTATTAAAATTTATTTATTTAATATACCTTGTTATTTAGCAAATCGTAAATTTTCTGGAACGCAAATCTCTTGAATCCTTCAAAAAGAAGAAACTTTTAAAAAGAAAATTGCATTAAAAAATTCAGTAAAAAGTTTTTAAAAATAAAGTAAATAAACACAGTGTATAATTAAAGCTGATTATCTTGTTATAAACTGAGAAAAAAATGTGAAATTTCACATTATGAGTTCAATAATATTTGAGTAATGACTTTTTTTAAGCATTTACTTTACCCTTTTTAAATCAAAGCAAATATTAAGGAAAAGGGTTTACTTCAAGAATTATCACAAATAAAAATTAAACACGGAACATTAAATTCTTTCAAGAAAATTAACCCTTTGCGGTCGGATTAAATTTGGAAGATAGGTATCGTACTGGTCGGAATTAATTTCCGTCGATAGAGCAGCTATACATAACACACAAGTTTACGATGGATAAACAAGATTTAGTAATTCTTTTGTGAACTTTAGATACATCTTTATTTAATACACAATTCTAGTGATATGTTTTTATATAAAAATTATGTTTTATAATTCTCCTTTGTGTGAATATTTTTCAAAATGCTCTCCAACATGCAGGCCAGGTTTTCGAGTGAATGTATTGCAAAAATAATTGGTTTGGTGCCTTCCACCCTTAATCTTTCTGTTTGAACATACATACTTTTTACATTTTCACAATGCTGCAATATATGCAGTTTTCCATTAAGTCTTTCTTCTTTATCGGGGGTCAATGGTCTTCCTGGTTTTTAATATGCTCCGTCACGAAAATCACCTTTCAGTCGTGCAACCAATTTTCGGACGAACATAAAATGTGGCATAGGTGTCCTGTTCTCTGTTCTAGCTGAATTTTGGAGAATTATTTTGAAATAATTTAAGAAGAGAGAATGTCTTATTACTGTTAAATACAATTTATAAAATATTCTTTAGAATTCTACTAGGTATCGTCAAATATTGTCGATTTCATTATGTTCAAAAGAGGACTGACTCGCCACTGCGTCTTGCATGGCGAGCGCTGGGTCACAACTTTTGTTTAGATTAGATTACGTTATCTCCAAACGATGGAGCACCGTATTGGTTCGTGAATAGGTTTTTTTGGCATTGAGGTTCATATAGGAAAAGTGTAAACTGATACATGAATGTATACAGTATATGATTCATATAGTTCCTTGATGTGGTGGCTGAGAGCAGACATACGACGAGAATGGTAAAAAAGCTTTGGTGGCTGAGAGCAGACATACAACCGGAATGGAAAAAAGGCTTTGGTGGCTGAGAGTGGACATATGACTGCAAAGGGTTAACAGTATGGTACCAGGGCTACCATGAGTGATCCAGGTCTAGTGAAATTGCTAATTTTTGTAATGGAATGCTTTTTTAGACGTCATTAAGACTAATTATTTATTTAAAATCTTTAAATTAAAAATTTGAATTTTTTTTTTTTTTTTTAGATTAGGATTCACAAGATTTGAAGGAAACAAGCCTGTAGATATGAGTTTCCAAATCCTCTGTTGTCTAATAATTTCACAGTTGTTTGTGAATAAGTCAGCTGTAATAAAATTGCTTTAAGGATTTTTTTTATTATAAAATCACTCGTATTTTTAGTTTTGTTATGTATTATCAAGTACTTTCTGAAGGGTAGTATTAATAAGGCACCGAGAAATTTTTTCTTAGAGCCAATGGTCTTGTTTTCCATATATTTCACCCAACCAGCAGTTAAGTGGTTAAGTCACTGAATAGTGGTAGCTCATCCTGGGTTGGATTCCAGGCAAACAGGCTGGCTGAATGGGTGTTTCCATCGTGAGTAATGTATATACAAGCCAATTTTCATTAGAACATCTTCCATGAAGGCATCCATTCTTAAATGGCCCTCATGTGCTTTGCATTAATCAAATAAACCAAACCAATCCATATATTTCAGCAGACAGCACGAAGCATGTTCAAAGATGACTTCAGCCCCAAGGGCAGTGTTTTCTGCATTTGCCATTAGAAAAATTGTAGTGTGATACTTTGGAATTTAATACATATAAACTCTTAGACATGTATTAAAGATGAAAAAAGATGAACAATAGTTCTTTAAATGTATACGCATTGTTAATATTATATTTTTTAATATTGTGCGGGCAAAATTATTTGAATTTTTTTATTTTTTAATGGTTGGGTGTTCTAAAGCTCACTCATGACCACAGCTCTGAAATTGTGTTTAAATTCTCTGTATCACTTTGGGAGATTTTTCTAATTGAAATTGCATGTCTGGCATCTATACATAAGGAAATGAAACATGCAGCTACTTTTTTTGATAAACTTGTATAATAACAGCTTTTGGGTTAGCTTCAGAAGTTTTTAATGACTACCAAACCAGTCTTTGAATTCGTCTCAATCTTGAATCTTTAAAACCAATCTTTGAATCTTTCGATTGATCAAATCAGTCTTTGAATTTCCATTGCAGTTAAGAAATGCCTGCTGTTAAATTTAATCTGTACACATATTTGGTCTAGGAATCTACATATTTAAAAAGATTTCTTGTTCCCGAATTATATTTTAACACTGCTTATTTATATTTTCTTTTTTTTTTCTTCTTTTTCCTGATTTCATAAAATTTCAGCTTTGTGGTTAAGTATTTAGCATAACCATAGCACATACGTTATACTGCATAGCACATATAATGCATGACCACAGTAATTTGTTATTTTATAAAATAAATTTCTTTATATTCCACTTTGTATGTTGATCAGTTATTTTTAAGTAACTACTTCATGAAGTTTTCATTCTTGCAGATGTGCCGAGTTATTATTTACCATTCTTGTACTCCTGTGTATCATTTATTGGTGTTCTGATGTTATTATGTAAGTGTGTTTAAATTTATTATACATTTAACTGGTAGATAAAATTGTGATATCTATTTTTAAATTTCTAAGTTTTACTAGGGAATGGTGTTTGTTTTACTATTCTAGTCCAAACTGTGCACAGTTATAGAGGTCTTTATAGGAATATTACATTTATGCAAGCCCAGCTCACCTGTATTGAGTGTAAAACAGTTAGCAACTTAACATCTCTAAACTTCATTTAATGATGGAGCCTTTTGTGGTTTAATGATAACAGGTGGACCTTTCAGATGAGAAGTCCCAAGCATAAACCTTTAAACCTTGTAACCCCCTTCTTCATGTTATTTTCTTTATTTCACGTGGAATTTGTGTTATAGAAAGTAGTTTTAAATAGATAAGGCAGAAAATGAAGTTAACTTTTTGTTTGATAGTAAATGAAAGGAAATGTTAAAAGCAACCAACTGCTTGTTTAATATTTTCTAATACAGTCAAAAGTCGTTAATTCGGACACCTGTAATCTGGAATGATCTATAATCCGGACCTCAAAGGTACAAACTTTCTGTGCATGCATCGCAGTGCCGTGCCGTGCCGCGCAATGAATTTGAAGTTGATCTGTCAGCACTATCCTTATCTTCAGGGCAGATGTTTTTATTTTATTTGGCTTATAATTCCTTACTAAATGTAGTATTTCATCTCGATGTACTTCGTCTTTGATATGACTTAAATCAAATTCCTTGTCATTATAATTCACTTCCGATAGCGAAGAAAGTGACACAGAGCTTATTGAAAACGAAAAAATTTCGATTGACAAATTAGTCGGTATTCTCAACACAGCAATTATAGGACTTGAACAGCGGAACTTTGTAACTGAACAAGAAATTATGTCTGTTTATAGAATTAAAGAGAAAGTATTATCACATAAAATGAAGCAACTTAAACAACTTACATTGAAAGTAATGTTTAATAAAGTAAACAAATAAATATTAAGCTTTTTTTTTTTGTAAATTTTGATACCCTTTAGATCATAATTGTTCTTTATTTCATAAATTATGGTTTCATATTTTTAATTTTATAATTTCTGCATGCCATCTTACCAGATTTAAACTGATGATCTATAATCCGGATAATCCGGAATCGCCGAAGTCCCTTTGAGTCCGGATTAACGACTTTTGACTGTATATATCATAATTTCTTATGGTTTTCTTATCTTATGGCTGTGCAGACTTTGGGAAATATTTGTGGTAACAGGGATAAGGGCTTCGTATATACATACGTGTTCATCATACAGGTATATAATGTAAGAGGATCCAAGAATGTAACAACATTTATTCAAAGCTACTAGCTAAGATTCAATATTACAGTTATCATTACATGCAGGATGTTATGGTTGCATATGTGATATCTCCTTTATAAACAGATATTGGTGTATACAAACTGACATCAATATCTGTTTAATAAGGTGTTTTAACTGTCCTACCAAATTGAGATGTATCCATACATAGAATTTGGTGATAGGCAGTTCTGTCTAAATTATCTTGAAGACACAATATTTCTGTTAGTTTCAGAAGTTACTGGAGCCTTTAAGTTTGTGGTATTACTGTCTTTCTCCAGTTCACTAGTTCTATGATTTTTGTGCTTTATTTTATGTCTTTTCCTTCCTCTTTTATATACATAACTTTTCACAAATATGTTATGGACCATTTATGATATTGATTTTGAGGTGAAGTAAGTTGAATAAAATCAAAAGTGCTATTAGTATATTATAAAGAACAAACTTCTTTCAACAGTTTTATTAATGAGAAAACAAGGTTGAAACAAATGATAAGTAGCCTTTTGTAAATGAAAATCCAATGAATATTTATCTTTTGAACGCTCCCTTTTTTTGTTGCCATTTCGATTGGAAAATTGCACATGAAGAGTTTCACAGAAGGTGCTTCAGTATGGCAAATGATGTATGGTATGATTAGTGATTGTAATATCAGTACGCCGGTATACTGAATACTGGTTCTTCATGCTTTGCAATTTCTTGAAACTAGTATTAAGGTTCTAAAAGATGCTGGAACAGTTGTCTCCTAATGATGGAACAATTTTTGAAATTAAGAATTCCAATTCAGAAAGCATTAATTGATGTAAATTTACATTTTTCCAAGAATGAACTTAATTTAATATCATTTTAAATCAGTATCAGATTTGTATCAGCTCTGCTATCAATGAAGCTGGTATACTGTCAGATGGATTCCAACTTATTACCAGCAAATGCAGCAATAAATTTTATATTGCAATCACTAGGACACGTGGTTATCTGAGTAATTATGCAGTGCATTGAAAATTCGCATAATGAAAAGTCGTAGTGAACTAGGAATATTTCAAGATATTTACATAATTATAACAAATTTAAAAGAGGAAATGAAAAGAGGCTAACAAAGTCTAATTTAATTAAGTTCACCGTAAATTAGAAAACATTTATGAAAAGTGGACATTAACCTAACCAACAGAATTTATTGAAGATGATGTTAATATCAGTAAAGAATTCTCTCTCGAGTAAAAATTGCAGATAGCTATAAATAAAAAAAAAAAAAATCCACAAACAATAATAAAAAAGTATGTGACCAGTGCATGACTTCCATGACACATGACATCACATGACTCCTATTAAATTGTCTACATTTTTAGCTGGACTTCATTTAAATTTATTTTCTCAAGGTATTCTAACTTAACTGATCCCTCAAGGCAAACTGAAAATGACAGAACACGGCATGCAACATGTAGTCTTGCATTATCTTGTTGGAACATGGTGTTTGGGTGTCTCGAAGATAAGGCACAACCATTGGATGTAAGATTTCAGAAATGTACCCATCCGGTGTTCAAATTACTGTCAATACTAACTAGACGTGGGTTTCGTGTAATCAGTGGCTGCCCAAACCCTCACACGAGGTGCAGGGCCCTTATGCTGATATTAAATGCGAGCAGGTGACGTGCAGTCTCTTCAGACACTCCAGATGCGTATGCGGCCATCAGAGTACTGAACGTAGAACTGGGACTCATTTGAAATGGCGACATTATGCTACTTCTGTACCCAGCTTTGTCGTTTGGTGCACCAGAGTCACCATCTTTCTGTAGGCTGCATTGTCAAGGGATGCCGAAATAGTGGTCACTTTGCTGATAGTGTATGCTGCTGCAGACATGCCCATTTCCTGACTAATAGCCTGTGATGTGGTTGTATGGTTTTTGATGTCAAAATATGTCTTTTCTGTCTGGTGTTAGTCATGAGAGGGCATTGAGAATCTGCATGCTGTTCAGTATGACCCTCAACAATCCTTTGATTCCATATTCACATGACAGTGTTTTGATGTTGACCAGTGCGGCTGGCACTATTGCGGAACGATAATCTACGCTTTTGATGGACAATGATCCTGACTCTATTGGATTTAAATCTTATTGGTTATGAATTTTGTCTTATTATTTGAGGCATAGCACAATATTCTGAGCAAACTCCAACCTTACAAAGCACTTTCCAAATGAGAAATCCACTACACAACTTTTCTTTTATGCTGTGCTTCAGATATTGTTTTTCCGTTTGTCCTCTAAATGCGCTGAAATACTATTCATTTGCATATCCCAACTTCTTCCTTTTATGTGATTTTGTTGTTTCTCAGATCATTCTTTTCTGGTGTTGCAATTTTAATGGCCAGCACTGTAGAAGACAAGGCTGTTAGCAGATGAAGGACTTGGGGGCAAATATTTAGAGGAAGTACAGTACCCACTACTGTTTTAAAAATCACTTCCGCTCCAAATGTATTTGAGTTTATTATGTGGCTGAGTTTAATAAAGAGTGATTTGTATGTTTCAAACTGTGACATCATTTTTACAGTTTTCAAATAAAATAATAACAAATGTTTAATTCATTAATTATTTCAAAAATAATAATTAAAAATTAATGCTGAAATGACTATTTACAGATTAAAGTGTGTTATAAAAATGTTTTTATAACAAAACAAACAACTATTCTATGTGTTTGTTTTATTTTGTTTGACAGCAGTTTTTTAATTGTATTTTCAGTTTCATAAAACTTTTGGCAGCTTGTTTTTAATGAGCACTTTTCTTTGAGTTCAAGAATTTTTTTTAATAATCTGCAGTGCTTTCCTAGATTTAACTGGCATGTCATTAGTTTGAAAAAAAGACCCCTTTATTCTGATCATATGTATACACGTCATGGAAAGAAATATTCAAAATGGATTTGAGAATTGTGAAAATGGATATTTCTGTTGAAATCTGATAACTAAAATTTTTCTGATAACCAAAATGTGCTTTGTACAAAGAAGTAAAAATATATTTATTCGAAACCGTCAGATTAAGACCGAGTTTTTAGCAGATGAAGGACTTCAAGGCAAATATTTAGAGGAATTACAGTACTCACCACTTTATAAAATTAGTTCAGCTTCAAGAGTATTTGATTTTATTAAGTGGCTGAGTTCAACAAACAGCAAACCGAGGCATCATTTGTACAATTTTCAAGTAAAATAGTACATGTTGCTGTGGAAGGAATTTAGTTTAAAGACAGCCAAAAACTGAGATATAAGAAAACCATTGTTCAAGGAGCAGTAAAACTTGTTGGTAAAAGTTGTGATGGTATGGGACTGCATGTTGTGTGCAGGTGTTGGCAATCTTAAATTCATTGATGTTTTCAACAAAGTGGCCATAAGTTTCATTTATGCAATAATTTCTTCCAACAGGACAATAATTTCAAGCATACAGCTCATATTATTATCTGTCTTTTGTTGTTCTATCAAATGCCCCACAATCTGAGTTATTTTGTTTAATCACCTGATTTAAATCCCATTGTAGATTTATAGAAAGAACTTGGTAACAGAATCTGGAAACATAATATACTGAATATGGACCATTTGATAAGGCTTTTTCTAGAAGAATGAGCCACAATTTCTTCTGAATCGATGAAAAATTTGGTAAATTCTGTGCCATAAGCTGAAAGACTGTTATCAAAAGCAGAGTATTCACCGCTGTGCTTTCACTTTTGTCCTTCATTTTAATAGGTTGAAATATTCTATTTATTTTTGTAAGTTTATTAATTTTAATTTAATACTTTGTAGTTATCTTTATAATATTCTAAAGCTTATATAAATATGATATGATTAAAAAAAAAGGATTACAATTTTTTCCCTACACATTTTTTGAGAAAGTGAAAAGTGTGCCTTCTCTTATTTTCATCATTGTATTGATAAATTTCTTTCATGCATATAAGGATAGTTAAAGTTTCCTTTTTGATTTGAATAATTTATGCAAATGTTTGTCTAGGCTTTAGAAGCATATGCTGCTGGTAAATTGTTCTTTGATATGACCGCATTTAGTGCTTGAGATGCATATGTAGGGAGATTTTATTTGTATCATTATATTGTAAAAAAAGACTCATTTTAGCCATTCAGAAGCATTTTCTTATTATGCATTCCAGTAAGAAAAGGTTATCTCAACTGATCTCTTGTGCATCACTTCAATTCTGAAATGTTAGATATGAATTAAATGTAAACATAATTATTCCTAAAAATTTTCTACTTTGTAGTTTTTAAATACAAATATTTACATAGGACAATCTTAATTTCATCGTTATCTGGTTTTGAAGTATCTTTAGAAAATATGTGTATATTTGATTTTAATTTATATTGTTTCACATTTTTAAAATTAAATTATCCTTTTTTAAGCTTTTTTAGTATTTTCTTCAATATTAAATTATATACTCTTTTGTCTTTCTCAACAAATAAATCACCAATGTACATATCTGAACTCCTCTATCACCAGAAATTTCCGAAAACCTTTTGATTGTAAACATAATCTATATGGCAGTTTTAATAAGCAGTAAGTGTAACCTCTACAAGCGATATGAATTCTTTTTGTTTCCACAACTTTATGTAGACTGGAATGGCAACAGAAAAAAATAATATGGTTTAGAAAAATAATGTAGTTTTAGAAGATCGATATCTTAAAAGTAACAAAATTTCGTTAAAATATAGTAGTAAAAAGTTATTCTTAAACACATAAATGGCGTTTTTGTGGTGCAGCTTTTGCTACATATCTACCAAGTGGAGTATTACGTGTTATAAGCTACTATCTTGATTCTGAAAGTTGAATTTTCCAGATTCTTTGTTTGCATCCAAAATTCATAAATACTTTTGCATTTGGAATTTAAGGTGACATTTCATGAAACACTGATATATGATTATACTCCTCAATACATTTTGGTTAAGATATTGAGTATCTAAACATACTTTTAAACTGCCTTTCAGTTTTCTTATTTCAAGTAGTCAACTCACAAATTCTGTAGGTTTATTAATTTTTTAATAATTCTGTTGTTTTGAATTCTGGTCAATATTTTAGACTCTTTTTACATCACTATTAACAGATATCGTATACCATTTCAACTCTGGAAGTTCTGTAATTATTTAAAGTTATTTTTGATTCAGTTAATCTTTTATCTCTTAAATCTGGTTATTTAAATTTAGGCAATAGCAGTACATAGTACTGAGCATCAGCTTCCAACTTAACATATAAATATTTAGATATATTTACTTTCAATTTTTTAAATCCTTTTTCTCCTCTGTTAAATAATTTATGTATTTTGTAGATCCTGGAATATATTCATAATTATATGACTATGCTATAAATTGTTTTGCACACTGCCAATATTTTTATAAGTAGAGGTTTTAAGAAAGGAATTTTTGTTTTTGGTGTGCATGCATGTGTGAGACAATGTAGCAGATCTCATAAAAGAGGAGAGCTATGCTATTTTCCACATTTTCTACATAGTTTCATATTATTAAACTTTTTATAGTTTATTATTTGAACATATATGACTTTTTTTTTGTTCCCCTACTTTCTGAAATTGTATTTCCCTTTATTTTATTCACTTAGTTTTTAGTTCTGCTAGTTTGGAAGCTTTTCACATTTAAAGGTATTTCTATAATATCAACAGATCTTCCATAAATAAGCTATCCTTTTAGATTTTTAACTAGAATTCTGCCAATCATCCTGTTTAGAATATTATATTGACTCTTTAGTAAACTACTTTTGAACTCAGTAAATCCACAGGTATTACTTAATTCCTTTATCTCTCTGTTAAAAAAATCACCAAGCAGTTGTGTTGTGTTTTCATAGAAGAATGAAATGTTCAGCTAAAATGAAAATGCTATTAGCTGTTATGAAAATCTTTTGCTTTCACTTTTTTCCATTCCTCATATTCATCATGATGATATCATTTCATATTGCATGTAACTGGAGGGGAAGTGTGAAATTCCTTTTTAAAATACTGTAAAAACAGCAGAAATCTGAGGGGCAATATTTGGTTTCATCGATTTTCTTGCTGATATTATTGAATGCCTTTAAAATAAAAGCTATAGCTTTTATTATTTTAGAAAACATAGCTTTTATTATTTTAGATTATTTTATTTATTATTTTTATTGTTTTAGATTTTATTTTTAGCCAGAAGGGCTATTAATTTCGTTTTGGCATTTTGCATTGATTCACTATAAATGTCAGTTCACTTTTCAAATTGTTGCCACCAAATATTCCAGCCCTGCATTATATTTAAAGAAATTAAATAATGAAGAATCTGCAAGAATGTATGTATGTTTCTCGTGCTGCAAAAAAACAATGGTGTTTGGAGACATTAAATTTTCAATAAGTTGTCTTCCACTAAAATATTCGCATCTAGAAGCCCGAACTTGGAATTTGGAGTTCGTTTTATTCTTCATATTTTGTAAAACTTTAACGAACTTTTGATTAAGAAAAATCAACGATTTCAAAGCAAGCAATGCCAACACTACCGGGAAAAAAACATTTTTATCTCCAGCATGCTAGACTGTGCATCGGAAATTCTACACATAAGCTCATTTTAAAATTATTTTGTAATATTGCTGTTGAATTGAATTTCATGGTTAAGTGCAAAGAACATGATACGAGGGCCAATCCAGGAAGTAGATTACGTTTCCGTCTGTGTCCGCTAGGGGCGGGGCTAGCGCGGCCATCTTGGGGTCAGAGCGTTGCGCAGCTCAGTCTGCATCTAGCCGTGCTAGTGAGAGGTTCGTGCTGTGCTCCGTTCAGATACTGTGACGGTTTGAAATGTCTGCGTTAATTGAAAATCCCGCGAGCTGCGAGGTGCGCTCAGTAATAAGGTTTCTGACTGCAAAAAACTGTAAACCGATAGAAATCTATCGGCAGCTTCGTGAAGTGTATGGGGACAACATTATCACTGAAGGTGGAGTGCGTCAGTGGGTCATAAGATTTCAAAATGGCCGAACCAATGTTCACGACGAAGATCGAAGTGGGAGACCCAGCATAGTGACCGCCGAACTTCTCGAAAAAGTCGATGCTAAAGTCCGTGAAAATCGAAATTTCACATAAACGGAACTTTCTTTGAGTTTTCCACAAATTTCGCGAAGTTTGTTGCACGAAAATCATCAGCGAAAAGCTTGGTTACCACAAGTTTTGTGCAGATGGAAGGCAAAGAAGAGGTAACGAAGTGGTTGAAAGGCGCAGGCGGCCGAATTTTTCGACGAAGGAATTTCCAAGCTCGTACATCGCTACGATAAATGCCTTAATTTCTATAGTGTTAAAAGTAAGTGGATCTGTATATAATAAAATTTGTTTCCTATACTTTGTTTATTTTTTTATTCCAAAACGTAATCTACTTTCTGGATAGCCCTCGTATTTAGTAAATAAAGCTAACACCCAAAACTTAAAAAAATTCCACACCTTTGGGTGTAATATAAAATCTGAAAGCTTTCAGATTTCTATTTGTTTTTTATTATTTTATTTTAGATATGCTCCTGAAATAGTTACTGTTTAAATTAAGTGGTTTTTAAAAGTGTTTAAGGTAGGGTAATATACCTCTTGGTAATTTCCTGTTTAATTTCAGTGTGTACACCTGTTGGTTTTTCAAGATTATTTACTGTGATGAGTGATCTCCTTGTGAAGCATGAGGTAATGTAAAGCTGATTTCTTATGTTATAAGCATAAAATGTAAACTAGGAAATGAGTTTTGCTTGAAAACATAATACCTTCAACAATAATTTTAGTATCATTTTTCTGATGCAGTTTTTTAGTTTTGCCTAGTCTACTTTTCGTAATTTTCTTTCAGCTTTAATTCTTTTCAGCTGTTATCATTACATCATATTTTGAACTTGAGGGACCTTTATGAATTGTTACTGTTAACAGATAGTTATTGTTGGTAACAAGTTTTATGTGCAATTAAAAAATAATTTTTTCTTCTCAAAATTGAAGCATTTTTAGCAAATATCATATATTTAGTCATACAAATGCTCTAAACAAGAATTCAATTCAAGTTTGTATGTCACGTATTTCTAACAAATGAAATAATGATCTTAGATGTTAATATTTTCTTTTCTGGGGTTGGAAAATCATGTCACAAGAGTGATTGAACACTTTTTGTTTTATCAAATTAATTAGCGGTAAAATCAGATTAATCATCTGTTAACAAATTACTGACTGTTAAAAAAACTGTAAAACTTTAATATTGTGGATTATTATTAGCTGTAAAAATACTGAAAATTTTTTCTTGGTCATGGATTAGAATTTTTATTATTTTTAGCCTGTTTTTCCTGCACTTATCTTGTGTTAGCAATTCGAGGTGCTCTTTCCAAATAAATATCTGAAAGTTTTTCTGCCAAAAAACGATCTTAATAATGTTAGGAGAAAAACATGAAATCACCACCCAAATATATGATTTTCTCCCAATGGTTTGTTGATTTTTGTAAGACTTCGGCTCAGAAACTTGGTATCCGTAAGTCCAAAAACAGATCAACCTCATTTCGGAAATCTTGTGCGGAAGGAAAGATAGCAGGTGTAAAAAAAAAAAAAAAGTAGAATGTCCGAAGGAGCAATGTGAGGGTTGTATGGTGGGCGTGGCAAAAGATTCCATTTGAGTCTGTACGGAGTCCAGCCGGTGAATGTAGACACATATGGCCTTCCATTATCGTGATGGAGCCATTACCTTTTTGCACTGGAACTCAGTTCAATGTTTTTCCTTGATAGCAGCGTCAACATGGACTAGCATCTCCCTGTACATTTATTCAAAATGGCAAGACAAAACTTTCCTAAGACATCAACATACTTTTGCTTGTACTTAATATCGGAAGAGAAGAAATCATACGCCTTTCAATGGATCCCACCCTATGTGAATGAGCAAGCTGACTCTCTTGTCAAAGAAGTCAGAATAATTGAACCTCCATTCTGTCCACCATACATTCTGAAGCTAATGCTGTCGTAAAGCAGAGGCTTTCTGCCCATCTTGGCCAACTTTTTCAATACCTGAGTTAAACTGTACCCGAGATGTCGCAACTACAATTGCAAAACTAAGAATGGGGCACCTGAGGGACATGAAGTTCCTGCCTGATTGTGCGAGGGTGTACATGGAGTGTATGTACTGCCTGAACACAGAGTTGGACCCCGGACATTTTCTGGCCTGTCCTACCTTTGCAGCAGTTCTCTGCCAAATTGACAATGACTGGACTAGAGACATTCTTTTCATGGACAGAGGGCAGAACCAGGGCCATGCTTCATGCCTTTAGCCCTATTTATAACTGCCTGTCCCTACACCTTATATTTTCCCCTCTCTCTCTAGCACTAGCCCTGGATACGACACAACAGACACAATATTAGTCTTCTTGCCACAATAAAATTGATGGACTTGTTTTGATTAAGTCAGACAAGTGAGATAAACCACAACTGTGATTAGCAAAGATCTGCTTTGTGCTTGTCAATGTAGTCTTGAATTATTTGTTGTTCATATCTGTAGATGGCATTGTTGTATACCTCAGGATATCTTGGATGATCTAACCTTTCTTTCATTTTTATTCTGTTATAATATTTTACTGTATATTCTTTAAATGCTATTTCAGCAAATATTTTAATAGATTGTAAAATACAAATTATATGTCTCCTTGAAGAGTAAAATGTTGAAATAATTGAGTTTTCTAGAAAACTTTATTGATCTGTCTAAGAAGATGGTTTTTCAGATATTACCTATCATGTCTTGAGGCAGCATACTATCACAAATAAATGTATTTATTAGAGATGATTTTGTTTCAGTTAAGTGTCCACAGGTATTAGTGACTTTTTCCTCTGAAGACAAGAATGTTTTGTTCTTGTCTCTGAAGATAAGATGTTTAGATATAGTCTGTGATGTTTGTTTTCTTGAGCTAAATATTTTATTCATGAGAAATGTTTCTTGTTAGAAGAATATAAGGTTATTTTCTTGTTAAGTAAAGGTGACTGATTGCTTTTGTGAGTATATGGTCAAGAACTATGTTTTTATGATTGTTAATTGAAAATTTTTAAATACTGTAGTTTTTATGCAAGACAGGCCTCTTTTTCATACCATATATTCTTTACCATATTAACTTTACATCATATAAAGCCAATTATTTTTCATATATTAATTCCAAGATTTATGATGTAATTTTTTTTTCAGACTTCTCCAATTCAAGTTCACTCATTCCTTACTTATCAGGAAGCTATGAAGTTAACAGGCCAGTCTAGTTCAAGTACTGCACTTTCCATTGATGATGAAAGTGGAAATATTTCAGAACCATATCAACATAAAAATTTTAGTTTCATGCAAAATGTTAGTAATATCTTCCGAAGGCGTAAAGATCCAGCATATTTCTATTATTTGGTTAGTTTTCAGTTTTTCTTTCCTCTTTTTTTTTTTTTAAAACTGTGTTCAAGTTTTGAATTAATAGTACATCACCTCATTTGATTTTGGTAGAGTTGAAAAAATGTTTTTTAACTATATTTTATTATATATATATTCTAGGGTCATTAAGGTTTTTTGATGTTGAAGTGAAAAATGAGCAATGCTTTCTCCGGGACTTGAACCTCTGACCTCTTGAATATGCGCCAAGTGTGCTGACCATTACACCACGAAGGCATGTTAAGAAGGCGAGAGAAATACCTCATATACTCCCCCTTTAAAGGGCAACTGGGGATTAGGGTACACAGTTGCCTAATCCTGGTGGTGGAGAATCATCATCCGCCACCTTTTTTTAGTTCGGGTGCTACTGTAGAGACATTAGGTTATTTCGAAGCAGGTGACATGAAAAATAAGCCATGCTGTCACCGGGACTTACATCCCTTGAATATGTGCCGAGTGTGCTGGCTATTACACCACAAAGGCATGCTAAGTAGCTAAGTATGCAGGAGAGGTGCCTTAGAATATCTACAAGCAGTTGCTTAATGTTTGGTTGACCATTTATATAATGATCTGTCTATATATAATATTCCACAAAAAACTTCTAACTGACCTTCTGTAAGGTTATTTTCACGTCATATAATGAATATTTGATATTGCATTTTTCATTAGTTTGAAGAGGGTTGTAATTAATGCACGATGATTGTATAAACTTGTTGGTAGCTGAAAAGAGCAAGTGTGTTCTTTCGATTTTCATACCAAGGTACCTTTAATTTTTAAGAAATCAAACACTGCTGTAAAATAAACAAAGTGGTATATTTCTGCTATTCTTAGCAAGATGGTGGTACTATCTGTAGCTTTTGGAAAGCTGATGTACTTAAGAAGACATTCCATGAAATGTAGTTTGCTGTCAACAGTTGTCTGTAATTGAATAATTGAAGTATATTATGAGAGCAGCTTATACTCTTTGAATTTAATGTGTGAATAATAGCTTTCAAATTTTAGTAGGTTGTTTCTGAGAAGATAGATCGAAACTTTAATATTAAGTATGAAAGCATGTTGTTTTATTGAAAAAATAAAATCCACGGATGCAAAATAAGATGATAAACTGCTCTTAATAAATAGAATAATGAATAAATATTTTAACATTTTTAGGTGCAGTTTAATGCAACCAAAACATTTAGATCTATAGAAAAATTTTGAAGTTCCCATTTCCATTTTGATTTGAAATTTACAATTGTTCGTCTTTAGTTAAGTAAATGTGTGAGGGCTATTGCTATTCTGTTCGAAACAAGTAAAATTTAGAAGTTTTATTTTATGTGATTGAAATATATTTTACTAATTTTTTGGTTTGCAAGCTTACTTACAATTTATTTTGTGTTATACTTTCATATTGACTAATAACTCATTATCATATCTTTTACTCCTTTTCAGCTATATTATTTTCAAACCATAGACTATATCATTTATCACTCCCAATTTTGATGTTAAATTCTGTTCCTGGGTAAAAAACTTGTTGCTTGAAGAAAGCTTGTTATTTTATATTCCATTATGTTGGTAGAAATATCGTCAAGCATTTCTCCCACTTTCAATCACATCTGCTAAAATTATAAATGAGTAAGTTCTGTAGCTTTTATAAAATGAATACAAAGTCTGAGATCTGGATCTCGACTTTGGAGATTCCGGATTTGGGATTTTTTAAGTTATTAGATAATCACTTTAAATCTAGTAAGATGGCATGTAAAAATTAAAAAAACTAAAAATATGAAATCATGGTTTATGAAACAATAAAACATTTAGGATCTAAAGGGTGTCAAAATTTGCAAAAAAAAGTTTTAATATTGGTTTGTTTACTTTATTAAACATTTCTGTCAAGGTAACTTGTTTAAGTTGCTTCGATTTTTGTGCTAATAATTTCTCTTTGACAGACATTGAAGTCATTCATTGTTCAAGTCCTGTAATTGCTGTGTCGAGAATTCCGAATAACTTACCAACTGAAATTTTTTCATTTTTAATTAACTCTCTGACATTTTCTTCACTATTGGTAGCGGTATTTTCTGGATTTAGAACCGTGCTACAGATTTCGCTGTCCATTAATTGATTCACGATTGGGGCTTTGTCATCATAATGAACAACTTCTGTTATATCATGTTCATTTATTACTGCTTCTCCACATTTCTTCACAAAATCTATTAATTGGAAAATTTCACCTTTGATTAGTGATAACAGAAAACCTTCAAGTTCTATCTTCTTCATCATCCTCCTCACCGTAAAATATAGTAGCTGGCCATAAATTATGCCAAGCCTTTTTTAAAGTATCTGGAGTTACATCTTCCCACAATCTTGCGATGGTCAACACAGTAGGTGTTCTGCTAAAATATTTTTTAAATTCTTGATTAGTCTTACTATTATTCAAGAAATTTAACATAGACTTTAAAAATGCTACTTTAATAATTTAACTTATTTAATACTGCTTTGCATTTCAACAAGCGCACTATTCCGATATCTGTAGTCTGAATGATGACCTACAATTTGTAGGAAAGAATAATACGGATACATTATCTTTTCATTAAAACTTTAAGCGAAGGTTTAGACTTACAGTTGATTACAATCAGGTCAATTTATCAGGTTCCAATTTTAGTATATGTACTGCTGAAGCGAGTACAATCAATTTATCAGGTATGCGAACTGAATTCAAATGTTGCCAAGTCTTGGGTGTGAAATGATTTTCAAACCTTTCGTTCATTAATGCTTGTGTCATCCATGCTGTTTTGCTTGCACAATATATAATGGGAATATCTTTACACCTTTAAATGCTCAAGGTCATGTATTCTTAACGATTACGAAAAGTTTACACTTCTGCATTCCTGCAGCCTTTGTGCATGCTAAAATTGTTAGTCTCGCTTCTCTTTAGAATCTTTGCCACCAGTTGGAGCCTTTTCTGTAGAGGTTACCAATGTATTTCGTTGTAGATATTGCCAGAAAAGACCTGCTTAATCAGCACTGTAAATTTGATCTTGAGATAACGTTTTACTATTAATGGGTTCAAGGAATTCATCTGTAAATAATTAAGCAGCTTTTTAATTTTTAATTGCCTTATACTATGACAATTTTTAAATTGGTTAACCAACCTGTCGAATATCTGCATTTGGTTTTTATGTTCAGTTTTTCATGAAATATTTTGGCTTGAGCCATTAGCACTGTATTCGTCAACAGCACACACTTGCTGCGATGTTGTCTGACCCATTCAGTTATTACTAGATTGTTACATCTAGCATTATGAATAATTTTTCTGTTACTCATTGCAAGTATAATGTAAGAATCACAAAAATTTCCTTTTTCTGTTTTCTGATGTGATATAAGGTTGACTTTCCAATGCCCATATTCCTCGCATAATTTTGAGACAGATATACCTTTATCCATTTTTTGTTTAATGGACATCAAAACATGCTTTTGCTTTGTAAATCCTCTTGTAGCTCCAGAATTAGAAGCTCTTTATCAACAGGATCGAAAATTCAAACTTTAATATTCATAAAATTGCTGTAATAATAACAGCCTACAAAAAATAATAAGCTGGATCAAATCAGAAATTTAAGGAATACTAACTGAATGTCCTTGGAATCAGTAAAATATAATTTTAGCCTAGCTTAATAATGTCTGCTATACATTATTGGTTACATATTATTAAGATTGGTGATTAAAGACAAGTTCTTCCTCTAAATTTTGTCTTGCTTCTATCACATACTGAAGCAGTTAAGCCTGAATTGTAGTAATTTAGTTATTTATTATACTTATGTCTATTTTTTACACATGCTTAATAAAGTCTTATCCGAGTCCTGAATAAATAAATTCATACATATACTTAAGGCTTACTGAGGGCCATCGCTAGATAACTTACTGCCTGATGCAGTTTGTGGGGGACCTAAATTCTGCTGCCAAGCACATAAATTCTAAATTTCTGTCACCCCAAAATTTTGGGTCCCAGTGTTTTCCCTAAATTCTAAAATTTTGTCATCCCTTATTTGCTGTTCTGTGCTTGTCTAAATTCCAAAAATTTTGTCTTTCCTAGATTCTGCCGCCGGTGCTGCCATACGAGCTAGTTGCCTTGAACTAAAAAACATCAGCTTTGTATATAAACTCTACTGATATTCTAAAACATGAAATTCATTAACAGAAAGATTGCCTGCAGCACAGTGCAGCTAAGAACACTATTCTGCTAAAATATAAACATGAACAACTGTTGCCATTCACACAAACTGAATAGTAAAATAAAGCATGTTGCCAATAACAAGATTATTGTAAAAATCATAGCATATTATTAAATAGTGAGAAAATAAATAAGGCGAGAAGAAAACAAGAAATGCGGATGTTAAATATACATCCAACACGAGCTCTGAGTTTATGTGAATAACAAATCAGTTATTCTTAATTCAAATAGCACTAAATGTAATTTTTTGGTCTATGAGTTTCATTAACAAAATCTGTTTTTAGCATACAGAAAGAAATATTTGTTAAATTTATCCTTGTCAGCCAGCATTTCTTAGTGCATTTAACTTAAATCTGCAATTATCGCAAAGCGTAATGTCAACATAAAAGGTTACCATACTTTTTGCTATTCAATTACTATTATAAAATTATTTAGGCATTACTGCATTAGTCATTACTCAAGTTATCATGTGTTGATAAACATGCAGTGATGAAAGCAAAATATAATGATGATTCGCCAGGTTGGCATCAAAGATATGAAATATTAGTTATGTAAAATCTCCGATGTTTCTATGTAGAATGTTTTGGTTTGAGATGTATGCCAAGCAGCTATGAAGCCAAATTATTGATCACACAAATTTATGCTAACATGATTGTTTCTTGAATAATGAGGTATTTTATTTAGTGTCTAAATGAAATTGAGAATCGGAACTCTCCACATGTTTTATTATGGGGTAAAAAAAAATCAAATGTGCATGCATAAAGAATAGAAAAAACGGGGTGGGGGAGGCTGTTGGTGGCTTTGAGGTCCATGTTTTAGATCATTTTGGATATTGGACGTCCGGATCTCGGACTTTGTACTGTATAAATCTTGACCTGTAGCTGAAATTGCATACAAGTTCATTGGAACAGCGGCAACAACAAGGAAAAAAAATATTTTCTGTGAATTACCAGCTTAATTTGCTGTTTTCTGTCTAGTATTGTGTCACTATCGCATGGAGAAAGTGATAGTTCATGATAGATGTGAAACCTGTTATTTCTGTTTTTTATTGTTTTTTCTGTTGTCTGACTTCTGAGAGTCAAAATTTAGAAACTGAAGATTAATTCTGAGTTCAAAACTACATTTGGTACTATTGTATTAGTCAGTATCCAACTGGTGCATTGCCAATAATGCTGTCCATAACTGCTTTCCGTAGAGTGTTGTGGCTGTCGTAGAAACTGCTCTGTATGCTTCTAGCAAAATGAAATAATTTTTTCTTCTTCAGTTGTTAATGTTCCCTTCCCTTTTTTTGGCTTGGAAGGAGTAGGCATAGTTTTTTTTTTTTTTTTTTTTTTTTTGAAGTTCAATGTGAATCTCAGACCACTTAGCACAAGTATATATCTATGTTGCATTATTTTTTCGAAAACCTCCCATGGAAAGTCCTTAGGACACCATTTTGCATCTTGTGCTAATTTTTTCTGCATCACTTATTTAGTACATTTCTTGAGAAATAAATCTAAAGTGATCCCATTATTTCCAGAAATGTGATATTTTGTTAAAAATCATGAATATGCTATAATATATTAGGGGGTGTTCAAATGAAAAGGTACAAAACATCATAACAACCAAACTGGTTGAAATTTGAATATGCAGCTTTGGCATAATGTAGTGAGACATCTTAGGACGCGAATGCAGCGTCTAGTGTGTTTATGTAAATGGGTGGTCCACACATGATGCAGGAGGAAAGTAGGCTGTTGTGTGTTCTGTCCAGTTGATGCGGCAGTACGTGTGGATATTGTGGCGTTCATATTGTAAAATTCAATGAATGAGGAGCAGCAAGGTGGTATCAGATTTCTGACTGTGGAAGGGGTTAAACTGGCTGATATTCATCTTTGGATGGTGGTCGTATACAGGGGAGACCGTCTGTTTGGCAAGTCAATGAGAAAGTGGAATGCCAGTTTTCATGAAGGCTTTAAGTGTTTGAATGATGACTCGAGACCAGGCCAGGCAAACATGGTAATCACGGCTGAGCCAGCCATCTAAGCAGAAGTGACATCTCAAAGGGAAGCGTTTCAACTCGGATGACGAACTGCAGGACACTGTGGAGGATTGGCACCTGTCATAGCTACAGGAATTTTTGGGAAGAGGAAATCCTTTGGTTCGTGAAACAGTGAGATTGAGCTTAGGCATCTGGTATTTGTGAATAAAGACTTCAGTATATCCATAGTATATTCATACCTTTTCATTTGATCACCCATAATATATCTATTAAAAATATTTATTTGTGAAAATTAATCTAAAGAAAATAATTAAAGAAAATATATTACAAAAATTTCAACCATTTCTTTGTGCATTTTGGGTTATTTTACTTTTCAGCAAATTTGCGTGTAACTGAATTATTATAAAAAAAGGTGATGTTCATCCTGTCGTATTATTGCTGAAGATGGGTTACCATGTACAATGGAAAATCAAAAATCCACACAGATTGACAAGATTTTAAAGTTTTGTAAGTTTTAAAGTAATAAATAAATGAAATTAAATATCATTCTATTTGGACTGAAAGATGCCATTGCTCATCAGAATCAAAGGCTGATGTGATGAAATATTGTCAGTGATTAGTTTTCTGACATTGTCCAGTTGCATAATTTTTAATGCTATCTGAAACTAAATGCAAAACTAGACTTTTGTGCATTGGTTAGGTTTCGAATCATGCAAATTAGGTGACTGACAATGTATTGCAAGATGGGCAAACAGCGAAATTTGCATGTATAGTTTTAAAGATTGTGGATTATAGATGTGCATGTATAGATATTGTGGATTCTGAGTGCTGAATTTTGATTTGGGTGATGTTGAAAGTTTTGGCGTAGTGTAAAACTTGGTTCCTACCAAACAAGCATATGCACTGTAAATTAATCATTGAATTTTAATGGATGCTCTCCTAGAACTTAAGAAAGCTGATGAACAGGATATGTAAACCTATGACATGTGAAGAATAAATATAACATGAAGATGGGAGTTGGATAACAAGTGATTAACTTGACTGGCATGTTGACAGATACTTGGCTGCAGCAGTTCCATATGGTACTACATGTAAATGTCGTCTGGGACATTCCTCTAGATTCCTATTTCCATTATAATCTTCAGCTGCTCCTTTCCATGTGAGGATTCCATACATCGTATCGCTGCACCACGCTGAAGAGAACCACAGCCACTGTCCCCCACCGATGACCAGGATGTCAAGAGGATACACCTGTCTACTTAAACACACACACCTTGTCTTCTATGGTGGGGATATATAACATTTAACTTATGCATCTTCAGTACTACATAGCCACAATGGAAAATGTTAATTTCCCAACATGACAAACGGGGAATCTAAAATTAGAGGAAACTTTGCGGGAGCTCAAATTTGAAAAGTTAACACTGGATAACTGTATTAGTCTTCAGAAAGGAAACTGATGACTGTAATGTAATTGTGATCTATGCTGATGATTTGATTATTCTAACTAAAAGTGAGTCATCTGGGATACACATTAAGAACATTCTCAGCAAAACTTTTGAAATGAGAGACTTGGGTAAAATAATAAAACAGTGTTTAGGCATTACCATTGAACAAAATAAAATTATTAGTTACTGAAATTCAGTGTGATAGACTGATAAGTATTCATTAGTGATTAGAAGACTTGTTCATTACTAATGAATGATTCAAAAGCATCATTTCAGTTTATTGATAGATGCGAGGGGGTGGGAAATATAAATGGAGGTTATCGAAGATATAAATATTCTTGAGATTGCCATATCAAGAACTTGGACCTGCTTTTTAAGCCATGAAAGAATCAGTAAACAACCTAATCAAAGGGCCAAGAGCAGTAGGTATACCTAAACATTGTTTTCTGTCATCGTCAGCTTGAAGAAACCATGATGCGAATACAAGAGAGTTAGTTTTAGATCTTCAAGTTTCCATTAGAACTTGAATCTGCTCTTTTGTTTTATGAAGTCTTCACAATGTTGGATTTTATATGAGAAATTCTGTTTCTGTCTTACTCCATCTTCCAAAGGGACCTAAGGTTGTGTCATCATCATGTTAAATTCAACCAAGAGAAATAAAGTGTTTTGTTTATTGACAAGTACAGATATTGTCTGAACTACTATTCTTGACTCTCGTTTGTCTGGAGAGAGCAAAGACCACACAATTTGTCTTCCTTTTTTAAAATTAGGTAAAACAGCAACCTTGTCATATTTAGAGAGGGTCAAATTTTTTATTAAAGGGCTATCATGTTAGAGAAATCGACCAACTATTCTTTCTTATCATTGTGATTTATTGATTATTTATATTTTTTCTTCTGCTATAGTTGTACAGTAAGACCCTTCTTTAACTGTGAATTACATTTCCTCAATGGTGTTTAATCATAACTTATTATCTAGAAGTTTACATTACCTGCAGTAGATGCAGTGCCGTGGTATCTAATGATACATTTTTCTGATTTACAGGACATTGATTTTGCTTTATTTGTTTACATTTCATTCAAAACATGTAACATTTTTTCTCTGTCATTTCAGTTTCCAGATAAAAATGTTTTGTATGAACAAGTTTTATTTCAAAAGACTGAACTTTGCAATTTCATCTTTTGGTATTAAATTGAGTTTATTTGGATTTTTGGAGTTTATTTACATATGCTTAAGTTTTTCTTGAGTTACTTGTATTATAAATTTATTTGTAAATGCTGGAGATTTAATTATTATTTTACAGGATTCTCCTGATTATAAATCTGGAAATTATGAAGACGAAATTGATGAGATGAGATTTTCAACAAGTGGTAATTACAACAAAATTTCACATGTATTAGCTGTTAAATTATAAAATGAGAAATAATAGGTATCATGGAATTAAATGTGTTTTACTTCTAAAGTATTACTGAAAATATTTATACTCATGGCTTTTTTATTTTGTATGCATTGCAAAAATTGTCAGATATTTAAATATTGTAGCTTATGCAAGTCTGTTTCCGTGTTCAGTAATTTCCTCCCGTCTATTGATTGTTTACATTTTTGCTTAATGGCTTGTAACCTGATTTCATGATCCATATTCAGGTATTGATATGTATATATGGATAGTCGTATTCATGTACACTCACTTCCAAAAGTTAAGCACGAAGATGTAAAATGCAAACAAATCGACAAATAATGCTTTGACTGACACAAAATTCGGCAGGAAAGTAGCATATATATTTATGCATAAAACAAAATCAGTAATTATATACAGAAATGAAAACAATATTAAATTTTTGTAAGTTATCAGATAATGACATACTGGAGACTTAAACAGAATTATGTATAAAGTGAAAATAAAGAGCATAAAATGAAAAAATAAAGGACATTAATAGGGTATGTGATCCTCCCTCATCTGTATACAAAGTTTACACCTTGTGACCGTGCTTTCAATTAGGTGGTCAACCACTGCTGAATTAAGCAATCGCCATTCTTGTAGAGCAGGAGCAATCACCATTCTTGAAGAGCAGTTTCCAGCTCAATAAGAGTGGCTGGAGGTGAGAAGTGTTAAGATACAGCATGGCCAAGAGCATCCCAAAGGTCGGGCAAATATGCTGGCCACGCCATACGCACAATTCCTTCACTCTCCAGGTAGTCATCGACAATGTCAGCTCTGTGGGGATGTGCATTATCGTCCATTAAAACAAAAGTAGGGCCAACTAACTGCTGCAGCGTACAATCTCACAATGAGTTCATCTCGATACCGGACAGCCATCAAAGAACCCCATTTAAAGAGGTGCAGGTCAGTGTGGTATCCTAATGAAATCCCTGCCCACACCATAATGCTTCCGCCTCAGAATTCGTGATGTTCGGGAATATTTTGGGACTGATTTCGTGTTCGTTGTTCACGCCATATCCTTATACGCTTGTCATTTGGCTCCAGAGCAAATCTTGACTCATCAGTAAGCATGACGTTGCCCCAGTCAGACACATTCCAATTGACATGTTCCGGCACCACTGTAATCATGCCCCTCTTTATTGGGTGGATAGAGGAACACAAACTCGAGGTATGTGGGCGTAGAGTCCACTCATATGTAATCTGATTCTCATGCACATGACACATGGGAAAAACATAAAATCCAACCATACAACCAGCCTTTTCACAGGGGATTAATGCAGGTCTTAACCGTATGGCCACTGGGCTCTTTAACTAATTAAGGGCATAACCTGAGTCAATTCATTATATGTAATGTAAGCTACGAGGGTAACTTGAAAAATAAGTTTCCCCTGTCGACTGTGGGCAGAGTTGTGTATGAAAGTCAAAAAATAGAATGAGACATTAAAGATATGACATACCTTTATTTTTCCACATAGGTACCAAGTACATTGAGACATTTGTCATATCGCTTGATAAGCTTCAAAAAGCCCTCCAGGAAAAAATCAGGGCTTTGCATATGGAAGAAGCGTTGAACGGCTTGTTTCACTTCAGTATTGCTTCCAAAGCGCCTTCCCCCGAGATTTTTCTTCAAAGCTAAACATATGGAAGTCGCTTGGTGCGAGATCAGGACTGTATGGCGGATAATGTAGGCGCTCCCAACCAAGAGTTGCAATATGGTTTTGCATTGCCGTCATCGAATTTGGTCTGGCATTGTCATCCAACAGCAGAATGCCAGATGTGAGAAGGCCAGGCCGCTTTTTCCGAATCGCCTCTTTTAATTTCGACAGAGTGTCACAGTAGCGCATAGCATTGATGGTTCCAACCTCCAAAAAGTCCAGCAACAAAACTCCTTGGGCGTCCCAGAAAACTGTGAGGAGCACTTTACCTGCAGTTGTCTTGACCTTCTTTCGGACAGGTGATGACGGATGTTTCCACTCCATAGATGCGGCTTTCGATTCTGGCGTGAAATGGTGGACCCACGTTTCATCTCCCGTCACAATCCGAAACAGAAAGTCATTGCCATCTTCATGGTAATGCACGAGATGTTCCAGGCTGACCCCCATGCGTTGTTCCTTGTGTGTCGAGGTCAATTGTCGGGGCACCCATCGTGCTGACACTTTTCTGTATCGAAGAATGTCGTGGATGATGTTTTGAGCTCGCTCATGTGAGATTCCAAGTTCTTCCGCTACTTCATCGATGGTGATACGCCGGTTCGCTCTAATCACGTCATCCACCTTCCTGACATTTGCATCTGTAGTGGCCATGCGCATCCGTCCAGCTCTCGGTATGTCCTGCACTTGCTGACATCCATCATTGAATGTGCGGCACCATCTCCGCACCATTTGCTTCGACATCACACCTGGCCCATAGACTTCCACGAGGCGGTTATGAATTTCTGTTCCTGATACTCCATGTGCCCATTCATAGCGGATAACTGCTCTCACTTCCTCCTTTGACCACTATTTCAAAACGCACCTTCTCTCCATACCTCCCGGGGCTCAAATGAGAGGCTGGTCTCCGCTTTGCGCAGGCACTGCAACAGCGCCATCTGCTTGATTTGCAGCGACCTCTACCCAATGGTGTATCGGTGACTTGTGTGTTTTCCTGCTGTGTCGCCTTTCGCCCATAGCTGTTCAACGCTTCTTCCATATGCAAAGCGTGAATTTTTCTTGGAGGACTTTTTGAAGCTTATCAAGCGATATGACAAATGTCTCAACGTACTCGTATGATAATAATAAAATCAAGGTATGTCATATCTTTAATGTCTCATTCTATTTTTTGACTTTCATATACTACTCTGACCACAGTCGACAGGGGAAACTTATTTTTCAACTTACCTACGTATTTCCTTTATTCCAAGGTAACTTGGACTGATTTAACTGCATCAATCTTGTCACACCCATTTATTTTTAAGCAAGCAAAGCTATGTAATTATTGTCCATAACCAAATATACTCAAAAATAAGTCGCAAGTGTTTTAAGGTATGTTAGAATATTTTAGATTAGAATAATGTCCCATGCTTCACTACAACTAGAGAAACAGTCATTTTCCCTTATAACCCCAAACTATACTAATTTGCCTTATACTTTAATCAAGTTACTGGTCTGTAGATGCCTCTAAACTAAATATAATTAAGGTGTTGAATAAAAGCCAGTTTTTCTTTACTCAATTTGATTTACATTGCTTGCATGTTCTTTAGTGATATTTTACACTTTATTTGTTCATATTCAAAATGTCAGATGACAAAAGTGAGTATAAATATTCTGGTGGGTCAGAGAGAAAGAAAGATTCGAATGTTATTGAATCATATAGCTTGTCTGATGAATTAGAACTAAATGACTTCTCATTGCCAATGGTTTATGCTAAATGTAGATATGCCATCTCTATTAATGCTTCCCGTTGTTGTAAATTCAAAAATAATTTTTTTAAAAAGATGTACCACTATTGTATTGTAGGCTATTTCAATTTATTTTTGGATGATAAAATTATCATTATAATAACAGTTGAAACAAACAGGTGTGCTCATTAATCCTTTGCAAGTAAGCCTTCAACTTCTAATAGGACTTTTGTTACTTCAGCTAAAATATGAGTATTTTTATTTTCCATTATACTACATAGTGTTGTGGAAAAACCAGTGATGAAGCAGTACTGGCTAAAGGATGTGCTAATGAAACCACCATTTTTCCTGTGTGCATGTCACGTTAGCATTTTGGAAAGATACAATAGTACTTACACTTATCAAACAATGAGGCATGCAGAAACTGCTCAAGTTTTAAGTTGAACAAAATATGGCTAGTATAGAAAAAAGCTAGTTGAGAAATTTTGTTCTTCATGTACTCCCAGAAAAATGTGTCACAGTTGATGAAAGTTTGTTATTATATAAAGGATGCTTGGTTTGGATACAATATGTACATATCACTGAAAAGAGAGCCTGATTTGCAATTAAAACTTATCTTTTATGTGAATCTAAAAGTGAATAGGAAAGACTTTTGGTTACATTTCTTTCCATATTTGGTCCCTATTGGGAAAAGTATTTTTGGATTATAATTAAGACGCATTGGTGTCTTTTCAATTTGACAATTTAAAAAAAAAAAAAAAAAAAAAATTTTTTTTAGCATATAGTTAGAAAATTATTTGGTTCTTAAATTATTAAAGCAGAATGATTATGGACCATATTTATAAAAGTTCTCATAAGGCCTTCATTTTTGCAACCATATAAATTTTCAGTTATGAAGATGTTTTAAATAAGTTTTAAATTAATCTTTTTGGCATTTTTAATGCTGAAAATATGTTACTAATATTCAAAATAATTCATAACCTAATAGTCAAAGAAATTCACTGGTCTAAAAATACTTATTTTTAATTTGTGGAAATAATATTATGAATTTGCTGCATTTCACTTGAAGCCTGCCACTATTATCTAGAACTGAAATTCTGTAGGAATCTGAGAATAAGATCTCCTTTTTTTAAAAAAATTAATATTTAAAAAATGAATTTTGCAAGGAATTTCAAAATATACAGTCCCTTGCTCCATATAGTTACATTTAGTATGAGTTCATACTCATTCGAAAAAGGAATGTGAACATATTTTCTCTTGTGTAAGAAAAAGTAACTGATACATTTAAGGCCTGGAATTTTTATTGATGGAAGAAAGAAAAGCTTTCACTCTCCTTGATGCAGCAATTAAAAATAAATTTATGATTCAAGGTTGATTATTCTTTCCATTTAATGCAATTCATTGATATTCGTTTATCATTTACTGTGTCATTTACTAGTGTGTACATGTATGTCATTTATTTCTCTACCTTTACCAGTGTTTAACATTCATTTCAAAAATTTTTTTTTCATTTGGTGTACTGAAAGCATTTTTACTCAAGTAATTTATAAGCTTTTGAATGCTGAAAGTATGTTATTAATATTCAAAATCATATTTCATAACCTAATAGTCAAAGAAATTCACTGGTCTAAAAATACTTATTTTTAATTTGTGGAAATAATATTATGAATTTGCTGTGTGTCACTTGAAGCCTGCCACTATTTTCTAGAACTCAAATTCTGTAGGAATCTGAGTATAGGATCCCCTTTTTCAAAAAATTTAATATTGATGTGTAATTTTCACAAGTCTCCGTAGCACTTAATCGGTTAACATTAGAAAAATTTCTTTAGTTGCAGACAAATTTAAATATTTCATTTTTCAGTTTCTGTGTAATTCTGTGTTGAATTTTTAGAAAGTGTTATTAAAAGCTTTAAAATAAAATATCTTGGTCAGTTTTTGTTGCATAGGTGTCAAACGTTTTCTTCTCTCTCTCTCTCTGTCTCTCTTTTTATTTTTTTATTTTTTTTTTTTTATTTTTTAATAATGAGAGTAAACTCATACTAAATATAACTATCAGGAAAAGAAGGCTGTGAATAATGTAGATTTTGTAATTTTTAGAAAATTGCTTTTTAAAATTAAAAAATGTTGGAGCATGATGTGTGTGTGTTAATTTAAACAATTTTGTAGTTGAAAGTATATATTTATAACCAACAGTTGGAAAAATAAAGGCTACAGAAGGACATTTATAGACATGTATATGTCATATAGCAAATAATACTATAGAACAGTTAGTAGTTTCTGTTGCTTATGATAATTTAAGGAAGGAGTTTTAAATATTCAATATATAGTAACACACTTAAATACTTTATTCTTTGGAAACATAATTTTCATTCAGTCATACATCTGAGGTGTTGTCATATCAATAAAATAGTTGTAAAGAAATAATTTTTCTTCTAAAAGAAGCATTCTACATTTTAACAGTTATTGGGGCCTGAGAGCAGCCACATGTAACTCATGAGCTGAAATTTAGCCATGCTTGATGTATAGTGAAACATGGTTTAAAAAGAAGGAAACTAGGTAAATTTTGAAAGAGAAACTAATTTAAGAAAAACTGGTATAATTTTGTACGGTTAGATTAACAATTTATATTAGCAGCGAGTTTCAGCTAAGCTATTGAAATTTTGAAATTTTTTTTATTTTGCCATAATTGATAAATCAAAACAAAACCTACAAATTTTAAAATCATCAAACGTGAATATGCTTTTTTGGGAAATTTGACAAATATTTTAGTTGTGTCAAAAATTTAACTTTTATTTGTAAGTTCACTTATGGTACCTTCTCAAGGTAACAGTGAGTGATAATTTGATGAATTATTACTATTGAAATAGCAGTGAAAGGCACACATTTTGCTTCAGTAATTCCAAAAATATTTGTTTTTAAAAGATTCCATTGCATGAGCAGAAATATTTTAATATTTTAAATGCTTTCTTCATGCATCATAATTTGATGTCAGTATATTCAAAATCATAATCCATAACCTAATAGGCAAAGAAATTCACTGGTCTAAAAATACTTATTTTTAATTTGTGGAAATAATATTTTGAATTTGCTGTGTGTCAATTGAATCCTGCCACTATTTTCTAGAACTCAAATTCTGTGGGAATCTGAGAATAAGATCTCCTTTTTCAAAAAATGTAATATTTAAGAAATGAATTTTGCAAGGAATTTCAAAATATACAGTCTCTTGGTCCAACCCCTGTTCTAAGTTATGACAGCGATGTCTTTGTAGCAGCTAACACTCGACTAAGAGGTCACATTGTTTGAAAAATCCCTCCATTTTTTGCATTCAGTATTAAACAGGCAGGTGACATTTTTGAAAGTTTTGTAGTATTCGGAAATTTTCCCATTAATTACTGAATATTCTCACTGGTATAAAATATAGTACGATTGCATATAAGCATGGCATTGAAGTACGTGCTAGCTATTTCATGTTTTGAAAATCTGTTAGTTTTTTAATAGTTATTGCTAGCAAAATGTTCTCTTTCAGTTTTAATAACCAGATAATCAAAGATCCTAACTTGTTCTATGGTTAACAAATTTTGTTTTAAGCAGTAGCTGAATGCTGCAAATCATGTGCTATAAGTTGTGTATGAAATTCAGTCTAAACTTTCAGAAGTAAATTTGAAATCTTAGCAAGAAATGCTTATCTTTTTTGTTTAGCAAGAAATGCTTATCTTTTTTTGTTTTATTTGTATTGTTTTGCTATCTTTCATAATCAATTTTTAGATGCTGATCATTGTCATTCAAGTTTTCTTACATTTATTTCATAATTAAGTGCTTGCAGCAGTCACAACTTTTATTTCCACAGCAATATAATTACATTTTATGTAAGATTTAATAAGAGAGAATTTTTTTTTTCCTTTCTGCTTAAACACAATTTAAATAAAAAATGAAGTAACATTCTTCAAAATTAACTGTGTCATGTTATGGCTTACTCGGTATTCTTTAACACTATGAAATTCCAAATATTGCATAGGGAATCTACATCGGAAGACCATTATAAAGTAAAATGTGTTCTAAAATCATTTTAATTTTGTGTTTTTTAGAGCTTTCCTATCATCATCGGAGATAAAGTGACCGTGATAAAACTTTGATCATCTTAAGAAGTGTCTTTTGTAGTACTTTAATATATTGCATATATAAAATATGTTTTTAAAAAGTCTGCTGATGTGCTTATCTATAGTTGCTGTTTTATATATTACTGTTTTACGCACCTCTAAAATGTATATGGTATGATGAAAGGACATCATTAACTGAAGCGTTTATCTTCTCTTCAAGTATAATTTCTGTTTTTACTATGTATTCCTGTGGAAATACTAAAGATTTTCTTCTTTCTTTTCTTTCTTTCTTTCTTTCTTTTTTTTTTTTTTGAATTGCAGCATGTCTAATAGTGTGCATGTGCTAAATCTGTCGATTGCACATGCCTGTCCTCTAAGATCTCTTATCTCGCTAAAAGAGTCTGAGAAAAATATTTGTCATGCCAGATATTGTTTAGAAAGTGAAATAGATTCAAACATGACAGATTTATGAAGTCAACAACATCTTTGCTCCATTGTCTTTTGCTGCCTGTACTTTTCTCCAAATTGCCTGTATGGATATTTTCCACCTCCATTGTCTTTTGCTGTCTGTACTTTTCTCCAAATTTGCCTGTGTGAATGTTTTCCACAGTGCAAATATATTGTGATACTGTTGTCTGCTGCAAATGACTAATCTGAAATGTATAACATTTATAAGACGATGTTGAAATTGTTTTCATGGCTAGGTCACTGGTGTTTGTCTAAAATATATTACCAGTCTCCTAAAGGCAATATTTCTAATGTAAACGTGAAAAATAACTGTCTACAGACTTGTGATTATGCATCCTTTTCATTTGCTCAGGAGATGCCCTTTTTTAAATGTTCAGTAACTGATGTATACTTTATTTCTTCCTTTTGTTTTCATTAGTATATTGCATAAATTTATGATTCCTAATTTAATATGGTAATAATAATAATAATAATTGTTTTGCAGGTTATTCATCCAAAAAGTCAAACCTTAGGAAGAACTGTGGTTATCCATTTGTAATGTTGGTTTTACTAATTTTAACGGTAAGTAGCAATGTGTTACTCATTTGAAATGTAAATTTTGTGGGCAGTGTTTTAAAACAAAGTCTGTGTTTATTAATGTTAATGTGCATGTTTCAAGTTGAATAAATAAAATTTATATGTGATTATAAAAGTTGCTTTCAAAATATTGCACTTAATTTTCATTCGTTTTGTTGTAAAAACAAACTTCGAGCATTATGAGCTTTCTTTAAGAAACTGCAGAAAAATGCACCTGTTACTTATGTGTTTTAAAATTACTGCTTTAGATTTTGCGAAGTTATCACTTGGAATTTCCAGTTTTTTAGGTGTTGAGTAAAAATTAAATTTTATTAGTGTGAAATATACTTTGTGTAATTCCATTTTGTTTTGTAAATATAAACTCCTATTATGCTTTTGTTGTGTTCAGGAAGAGTTAATGTGTTTAGCGCAATGTAGATAGCCATAAATAGAATGCAATGCTATTTGGTCACCTCCCCCAATTTGTTGTACATAGGCCTTGTTTCTTCTATGAGGCTATTAATTATAATATATGCATCTTCTCATCCAATCTGTTGCTTTCTTAGTTAAATATCTTGTTTTCCTTGCGGATAAAACTGAAAATTTTGCTGTCGCTGACCATCTATGTGGTGATGTAATGTGATGATTCAAGAAATTCCATGGTTCAAAGATGGGAGATCATTAGATTGAAGCTATAGCCCTTCTAAAAGGTTTACAACTCTATTTCTGTTTCATTCCACTTGAACACCAGAAATTAGTTCATTGGGGGGCAGACTGTTACCTCTTCGTTAATAGAAGCTTCATCTATCACACTATTAATAATAATTTTTTAATACATTTTCTTCAAGTATCAGTCCCAAGAATTGGGATAAATAAATAATAATAATAAAATGGGAAGAATATTTATTGTTCTTGTGTCAACTTTTGGCCAAGACTAGAACAATGCAAGTTTTAACCCGGTTCTGATGGCTGAATGAGCTGGCTGCATTGGATTTTGTGGTTTTTCCTCGCGTGTAGCCTGAATTAATTTCAATCAATTAGAGATATATTATTAGGCATCTCTGCCTTCCATGTCCTACACCTTTAGTATCCTGCCTGCCACTGACTATTGGGACGAACACAGCGCCCTCTAGTCAGAATGATGATGGAAATATGTAATACTGGGTTTCAATTTCGGCAAACAGGTTGGCTGAATGGACGTTTTCATGGTTTTCCCCATATGTAAGATGTATGGAAAGCCAGTTTCCCTTCGAAAGTCTACCATGAAGGCATCTGTCTTCTTAGGCAGATAGCCCTCCAGTACTTTGCCATAATTAAATACACCAAACCATCAAAATCTACCTTTTGTGACTACTTCTACTTTTTACTTTCAGTCATGTTCTTAAAGTGTTTAAGAGCCTTCTTCCATACTTCGTCTCTTTTTCTTATTATTTCATTTTTGGCCTTACTGATAAAAAGTATCACATCTATTGATATTACTGTTTTTTTTTAAATTTGTACTTCAGGGGCAAAATATAATAAAATGGCACAGAATGGTTTGCTGTTTGAAACAGACTGACCTGTGCCAGGGTGTTTTTAATTCTGTAAATCACTTCTGTAAAATTTATTATAGTTAAAAGTTTAAAGTTTGAGTTTATTATAGTTAAAAAGAACAACAAAGAAGCTATTTTATATGGAAATTTATCAAGTTATTGACAACTTGATTTTTTAAAGTTTTATGAATAAATTTTTGGTTTATGCATAAAATGAGTTGTAGACAAATTAGTATTCTTGTAGACTGAAGAACATGTCAGCACAGGAGATTTTCATATTAATCTGTATGTGTTAAATTTAAACTGCAAAGTAATTAAATTAATATATATATATATATATATATATATATATATATATATATATTATATCTATAAAAACAAAGCCACAAAATTGTAGTTGACATGTGTGTTTTTAAAGGTATTTTTAAGTAATGTTTTGCTAAACGTTTGCTATCAGTTTGTAAATTCTTTAAATTAGTTATTTGGACATTATCGGTTTGTCAGTTGTTGAAAATAGTAATTTGGACATTACTATTTATGTAGTGAATAAGGTGAGTACTAGGAAAAATCAGGATTTGTATGCCATGCATGTATTTTACGAGTTCACAGTCCATAGAAGTGCAAATAATATAAGTGTCTGTAGCATTTCAAGCATAAAAAAATAAGTGCACCGATCAGCTGCATATTTTTCTATATGTTCGATGCATTGTTTCATTTCATGTATAAATTAATTTTTTTGACTTCAGCAGTATAATTTATTGAATATTATTTTATTTTTGATATTAGTGATGAACTATATAATTTATAAGAAATTTGTCCCTTTCTTTTCATTCTAGACTTTATCAGTTTTAATGGTAACACAAAATACTCTTGAACTATGCTTTGGAATAAAAGCTTTGCCTATATATTCTCAGGTATGAATTTTGTTCTTTTTGAGTTTTTACTTTATGAACTGTAATTCAACAAAATCAAATCACAAAAAAAAAAAAAAAAAAAAAAAAAAAGCATAAAAACTTGATAAATAAGCATAAGTAAAATGCATTACATTACTTTAATTTTAACTTGGTTACTTGGATTTAATTTTTTTAGTGCAATTCTCAATTTACAATATTATGTAACTCTCAAATGTATAATTTCATGATTATGATATATAGTATCATAGGTTGCATGATAGGCGTATACATGTTTTTTTTGATGGAAAACGTGAAAGTGAAAATTTTGTAACTGCTGCAAAGTGTAATCCAAGATTATTTTATGGTTCAGGGCCATTCAGTATTTTCTTTGAATTTTTGCTGGAATTAAATTTTTTTATTGTTCATGTTGTTACCTTTTTATGGGATATTCATGCACTGTAGTTCTAGGTAATATTGCTTTTATTATTATTTCTAATGGCAAGGCAAAACGCAAGAAATTCAAAGACAGAACATAACAGAAGTGACCAAGAGTCATTGGCTAAGACAGTTTCTGTCATGCCAGTATCGGATGGTCTTGGAGTCATAACCAAGAAGTGCCCCACAGTAATGAAAGTGCTTTCTGTTCATGGATTTCATGAGATCACAGAATGGGCAAAATGGTTGAGCAAATGTACCAGTTTGGTAAAGATGCTCCCCAAGGCAAATCATGGCTTGTAAGCAGCCCCCCCTCCAAAAAAAAGCCACAGCATTACTTCATGGATATTCTGGCACGCAAGTGAGGTATTCAGCCTTCCATTGTTTCGTGTTCATACTATCCAGTAGTTGGATGGCATTTTGTCTTTCCTAGACTGTTTTATGTTTTCATGAATGAGATTTTTCATGGACAGTTATATGAAGTCTTTGCATAGAGTGTTTTATGTGTAGCTTTATTGAGTGATATAACAGATTTGAGTTTATTGATTGTAATAATGATGCACCTTTTCGTGCAAGGAAATCTGTGTGTTCATTACGATAGATGTCTCTGTGTCCAGGGATCCACTGTATTCTAATATTCTTATTTTGCTGCAATAAGCTTTGGATTAATTCTAGATACTGAAGAACTTCTGTTGATATAGAGGTTTTTAAAGAGCCAATGGCTTGAATTGCTGCTCTTGAATCTGATAGCAGGATAGCAATCTTAAATTTAAAATGTAGTCCCAATAATTGTTTCACGGTAAATTGAGAGCCTCCACCTCACCATCAAATGCATTTCAGTGTTACCCAGCAGAGGCATAAAAGGAAGAAAGGCTCCTGAACCTGCAGATGTTAGATCATTGCTAGATGACCTGTTTGTCAATTATGATTTGGGTAATTTAGTATTAATGGTTTCCAGGGCAAGACATTTCAAGACCTCTATATATGTTTCATTCTTGGTGAGTGAATTAATCAAATAAATGTGCGTCTCAATTTGAAACATAGAAAGAGGGTTGGTTGGCAGCACAATTTCTTGTATTCGATCAATTAGACACATTTCCTCTTATTTTTAAACTTTTTGTTCGAATCCATACTGGCTTTTGAGATTTCTAGCTGTGTCTAGATTAGTCCAGAAAGGATCTCCAATGTCAAGCAATTTTTCATATAAGGTAACAACTGTGTCTTTAATAATATTTCTTATGGGCAAATTTTTAATAATAGTATGACTTGAATAAGGGTAGATTGAACACCTCAAGTAATAAATCTGCTTGATTTTGAAAAATTTGAAATTTCATGAGAATTGCTCACTTTTTGTTATGTCTTGTTCACAGTAGTATAGGATCAAAGGTAATACCAATGTCTTACAAGTAATATTTACAGCTGCCACATCCCCACAAGAAGCCAACCAAGCATCTTTTGATTAGAGCATTCTATGACTGACTCTACATGTAATCTCCAGCTCAACTTGTTATCAAAGATAACACCTGGGTATTTAAATTTATCTGTATTTGCATTCCAAGCACCTTCAAACTTCATTTCAGGGCAGAGTGCCCTAGTGGTTCAGTGAAAAGGATTAAACTGTAGTTTGAACAAAATTTACTGTCATGTTATTTTTTGTGCACCAAATTGAAAGCACTGTCATGGCTTCATTCAGTCACTCCTGTATCACAAGCTTTGCATTGTGTTTTGGTACCTGAGTCCAGATGAATAGCAAGCAATGGACACATTCTAGGTAACAAGGTAATATAAAGAGCAGAATTTAGCTCAGAATCGTTCTTTTGAATTTTGTGGGCTATTCAAAAAATAACTGCATTGTGAATTTTACCTACCTTAAATATCTGAATTAAATTTTCAGAAAACTTTCCCCCTTCCTTTTAAAATTTTATTCCATTTTAAATTTCCAGGTTGAGGAACTGTCTTATTCTTTACTTTTTGTTTTGGTCATTAAAGAAAAGTTTCAGAGCTGTTCTTTCACATGTGCTAAAATGAATTGCTTGGAAACACACTCATTGTACCTAATTCAAAATATTCTTTCTGCATTGGTGATTATGAAGGAAAACCGAAAAGCAGCTTCTTTGTTGTTGTACAATGAAGAAATTAAGAAATATGCAAATAAAAGTAGCATAATTTCTCAATATAGTGTTGTCACTGAATCATTATGTCTATTCTCAAGCTTAGATTCTTATGGAAAGGAAATGTGTTGGGTTGTATCTTCAACTAGAAATGTACCATTTCTTATATTTGTGCATTGCACTAGACACCTTGCAAAGTAACCCAAAGATATAAAAGTGATATGAGTCTGTATTGAGGCTATAGAAAATTTGTTAATCATTTCCATTGTGATTAAGATGGTTCTGTGTGTGAAAAATCAACAAGTAGCACAAGTATATTTATTCTATCAGCATAAAATTTGTGAGCCTATACCAAATACATTTCAGAGTTCACTGAAATTTGTCATCATCATTTACAGCAGGGATGTCAAACTCATAGGTACACTTGGGCCAAACAAACAAGGTTTAACTTTAGGCGGGCCGCAAAAAAAAAAAAAAAAAAAAAAAAAAAAAAAAAATCAATATTGATAGAAACATAGATTTATTTCGAATAATACAATAATAAACATATATATATATATATATTTATATAGAAAAGAACAAGAAAAATTTAATGTTTACGTCCTGATACTTGACATCTCTTCTCTGCTATTATCTTTCCTATTTCGGGAGAAATTTTGTTTGCAGTGATAACTTCCCAATAGCTGACCCAAGGTGAGCATCATTAATACGGTTTCTAATAGGAGACTTATTACCTTTCATGACTGAAAATAACTGCTCTCACCAATAAGTGCTACCAAACATGGAAATAATTTCATATGTGAATTTTCGAGTATTTTCAAACCTGGCTGGTAAATATTTGTAAAATTCAAGCACGCCCACTTCAATGAATTTTGCTTTCAAATTTGAGTCGCATTGAATCTCGATCACCTCCATTTGCATATGGCTGGGTACTGAGTCAATACTTATTGAGAAAATCAAAGAAAACAAACAAACAGACAAAAAAAATTGTCTTCTGTACATTCTGTTGTTTAAAAATAGTGGACTGTAAATTGACTTGATATTAACTTCAGTATAGAACCCAAGAAACCTCAGAGTCATAACGTTGACCGAAACTTCTTTATTGGCTTTCAAACAGTAAGTTGGTTGAGGAACGGCAAAGACTACACTGCAAACTCCGACTTCAGTAGCAGCTTACCAAGAAACTCAGAAGAACCTCTGCTTAGTTGAAACTCCAGTAATTCACAGCTACCTCAAAGCTCTAAACGCGAGCTTTAAAAACCTAACAAATTTGCGTCTGCGCCGTTCCTCGGTACAAAGAAAAAAATACAATTTGCATAATATCGAACATACCCCCAGTCTTGAAGTCCCAAGGGGTTTCAAACAATAAATTTAATCTGTTGAACTGAATAAACCTGAAAATAAAAATTAAAGTCTCTAAAAGCACATAGCTTTGCTATAGGTCGTTTTATTTCACCATTCGAAGTGCGTAAACTCACCACTCGAACTTTCTCATCAAGACCAGGGTATACTTAAGTAATTCTTCCTATTTCCAATGCAGCGGATGTAGATTTTCGTTCTTAATAAGAACCATATCACCAACCTTCAGATCTTGTTGTAACTTGCACCACTTGGGTCTCTGCTGCAACCTAGATAAATACTCACTGCTCCATCTCTTCCAGAAATGTTGACATAACCTTTGCACGTTTCTCCAACGATCACTGCAGCTCATGGTTTCTTGAATTTGGTTAGATTCTGGAATAGCGCTTAAAGCCGCTCCGGTTAAAAAGTGTCCTGGTGTTATCGCCTCCAAGTCGCTACAATCACTTGAAGCTGGTACCAAAGGCCTAGAATTAAGACAGGATTCAATTTGGGTTATTAATGTCAAAAATTCCTCATATGTTAAAATAAGTGTTCCTAAACATCTTTTTAAGTGATGTTTCATAGACTTGATACCCGCTTCCCAAAGCCCTCCAAAATGAGGGGTAGAGGGAGGATTAAATAACCGTTTAATATTTTCTGAAGAAATATAACCCTGTAGCTGTTCATCACGTTGAACAATAGAAAAGGCTTTTCTTAATTCTTTATTAGCTCCTATAAAATTCGTTGCACAATCACTGTGAATTTCGCACGGTTTGCCTCTACGAGCTATAAACGGCTTAAGTGTCATGAGGAATGATTTTGTTGAAAGATCTCCAACTAATTCTAAGTGTATTGCTCTTGTAGTAAAACAAATAAATAGACATATATAACACTTAAAGATTTTGACTCCTCTACCAGGACAATATTTAACGTTAAATGGTCCTGCTAAATCAATCCCTACATCCCTACACGAGAAAAAGCTCTACTTTGAGTAACTCTTGAAGTGGGTAAATCTGCCATTAGCTGAGTTGCAGTTTGCGCTCTAACTCTATGGCAGATAACACATTAGTTTATACACTTTCTTATAATATCTCTAGCATTCACAATCCAAAATCTATGTCGTATGGCAGAAGT